AATGTTCTGAAGTATATGCAAATTAGCTGCTTGCAAAGAATGAAGAATGGCTGCTCTTACCGAGGGCAAATAGTAAGTGTTCTTCATCAGCAAGTTGCAACTGAGGTAATCGCAACTGGGGGTGGATATCAGGTAGAAAATGAAGAGGCCGGATAACAACATGACTTGCAACACGAGGGCTAGATTCTGAAACAATGATTTCGACGATCTTTCCGATAGACATCTAAAAGCGCATAAGATAACAGCAGCATGGCAAAAGTAAAATCCTCACCTCAGCAGGCAGCTGTCCATTGCCACGAAAAATGGCATATTTTTCGATGGTGACCTTGTCCCTGTTCACAGCAATGACCGAAGACGCCTGAAATACGGCATTGTTTGATGACTTGATCTCTGGCTGGAGCATGCTTGAGCGTGTTGATGTCCATGGCACAGGTGAGGTCTTTGATGAAGTTGGAACTGTTGCCATGCCTCGAAAATTGCATACATGAGAATTAAGAACGGACATGTTGCAACAAACTCACCTGGATGATTCTGGTGCACTGTGGGAACACCCAAGAGGTGCCGCTGCTCTGGGTGATCGGAAATATAGTTGAGGACACCTGGAGCAGCGTGCACCCACCGCTTGCTTTTCGACTCCATCCAAAACCCCCAGTAGCGACATGCTTGAGAATATCATTGTATGCAAACACGTTGCATGAGTCGCGACTCGGAGCTTGACGGTTGCTATGAACGCAGCTGAGTCGGAAGACGTGGTTGAAGGATTCGAAGTGTTCAGTTGAGAACAAGATAGGTGGCCCAAACCTTCGGATATAGGCCGGAATATGGAGTAAAAAATGGAATTTTGATTTGGTGAGGATGATGCTAGGTGCGCACTGAACTGAGATATTGAGGAAATCGTCAATAGTATGCGTAAGACAAGCCTGGTATCACAGACATGAAATGAGTTTGTATTCATGGGTCAGGGTTGGGGAAGGCGTACCAGATATTCCTCAACATCATCAATTCTCGTATGCCACAGCAAGACCACCAACTGTCCAATGACGGCCCATCCATTCAGGACAGTAGACGGAACAAGATCATATATAAGAAAAGGCATGATCTGAGCAAGACTCTTAAAGTGTTTGCCGATCAGGCTACCGCTGTACCGACAGATATACTCTGCACCAAGAGTGGGTGAATTAAGGCCGTCTTTGTTGATATTGTCCAATCTGGTTTGGAATATCTTGACGAGGTGCGTTTTGTCGAGGATCCAGATAGTCTGACCCCAAAAATACTTCACAACGCCAAGGAGAATGGTATGGAGAATCTCTGTCGGTGTGTCTTGATGTATGTTGAGCCCTGTCATGCTAAGCAAAGGGTTGATATGATCTTCCACAGGGAGACCGCCCAGCATTTCCTCAAACTCCCTCTCCAATGTCTGTCGGACCTCTCGTTCGTTGATCGCTGGTTTGCCAGGTTCTCGTTTCCGCAGACGCTTCCCAAGTTCCAGGAGGCGGTTCACAATTGATGCGGAGGTAGTGTCATGGGTGCCAGTCGACGAGACAGCAGCCTGCACTTTCGTAGTTCCACCCGACAACTTTGAAAGCTCGATCTGCTCGAGAATCTGCTGAATTGTTTCTTCTGGTCAACGAAGCTCTCCAATCTAATGCACCGCTTCAGAAAATTGATCGCCGACAAATACAAAGGCTTACCTCAAATAATTTAAGATACCCTTCATCAGACTGTTTCACAGACGTCGTACCTCCTACTTTGCATGTGCGACAGAAGTAATTGCAGTGTAAACCGCCATGGCTACACTCTTCCGCCTGCATGGGGTTATCTCCTGCGTCAAATAGGCCATAGGGGATGAGCATCACCTCATCTTTGTATTTGCAGTCGTACGCAACAATGCCCTCATCCGCGGCAGCCCTGACAGACACGTCAACAAGACAAATAGACTGAAAAATTGAAATAAACAAACTCGATTGATTCTTTGACGGCTTTGGCAATCTCCATGGGTGAAGCATGCGGCGAGGATGACACAAAACGAACACAGAATTCCTTTTCAAGCATCTTGCGCGGCATGGAGGCATTAGACATGTACACCGCATGGTGTTTGTTCCACTGCTTCGACACATTCCCAGAGATATCATCCATGAAGATTATTAGGGGAACAGTGAGGACGAGTCGACCATTTGACTTTTCGCGCAGGGGGTTGGGCATTTTTGCAGCGAAGGGCTGTGATGTCACTAGAAACCTATGAATAGTCACCTAAACGATAGAAAAAATTACCTACATGTAAACCCACACAAATGAACGTCAGCCTGCAAGTCTATGTAGGTCCACTGAAACGACGAAACTTCCAATATGATGCGCTCGGGATCTACTGCAAAACCTGCCTAGAAAGAGATATTAAATTAGAAGTTAGACTCGGATGGTGATTGTACCTCTGTCCGTACAACTGGATGTCCCAATGCAAGGACCTGCAATGATGCTTGTTCAGCATCGCAACTAGAGATATTGGCTTGAAAGAAACGCGTAGGAATAAAGAATCCAGTTGTCGACTGAAGCAGCTCATTCCGGAAGTAGATACCGCCGTTGACGCGAACAGACAGGGACAAGTAGTTCTTCGGGAAGCTCATGCAGCATCTTCGATCCGTGGTGCACTTGAGACATATTCCCTCTCCCATCTTCAGGATAGTCCTGCATGCAGAAGCGAGTGAGAGGGTTGGAATAGTCCTGGTGAGGAAGATCAATCAATGTTGACACTAAAATAGATGCACGTACCATAGCGATTGCGGAGCCAATTGAGTTTATATAAAAGATGTTACCGGAAGATGCTGTAACCTTGCGAGTTGGATTTCCGATGCAGCTACAAACATGATCTTGAGCTTTGCGAAGCGCATACAAGGTAGGCACATTTTGAGCACCCATTTCGCGCGCCCAACTAAGCACAGCTTTTTTCTGTGCCTCTGAAAATCGCAGGCATGTCGAACCAAAGAGGAGGTCTGTGATAAAGGTCTAGCAGGATTCCGTAAATTTGTTGATAGATCAAAATAAAATGAAACATACCGCTTTCGAAGGCCATGGATATGTGGAATCATCCATGCACAGTTGATTGTTGATGCGATCCTCTGAAGCACAATTAGTTATTTCTCGCATGACGTACACAGTATCTACATACCTTCACCCTCCAAGAACAGTCCAAATTCGTTATCGTCGGGAGGAGGGTCCAGCATGTCGTCATCATCAAGTCCAAGTTCATCTGCAAGTGGCTGAAGAGAGCACGTAAAGAGTGCGTCACCCCGGTTTCGAGCAGCAATAAGTTCACTGTAAAGGTCGGGTTCCTCAAGCGCAAACATTTGTGTTGATGGATCCCACAGTTGTGGTAATTCGAGTTCATGGTCATGGCCGCTGTCATCATCCTCCGTACTCATCACCAAAGGGAAGGAAGGTGTTATTGGTCTCTCTGGGTCTTCTGGTGGTGGAATATCGTAGTCCATGCGGGAATGAGCAGCGGGAGTGAGGGGAGGTGACAGTGACAGTGACTGGGCAGGCAGTGAACAAATTTTCTTCTCCTGAGTGCGCAAACTAAGGATAAGGCTGTCCTTATGAATTTTGGTAGCACAGTGTTCAGCAACATGACAGGTCTTCATATCTCGCCGCTTCCCATTACGCTGCAGGCAGATCTTGCATACCACACGTCCGCCGAGTTTCTGTAATGAAAATACTGGGGAATATCAATATCACTGTAAGTCTGTTGCTGGCATAAAAAGAATTCGTACTTTGGGGATCAAAGGGAATTGACCTTTGATAACCTGTCCTGGCCATGGTGGGGCAATGTTTGAAAGCGCTCGAAGCAAAGGCAAAAAACGTTGAAAAAACAGGCGACATGCTGCAAACACGTTATTAAGCTTGAATATTGATAGGAGAAACTTCAAGATGTCATCCGTGGGAATACTACCTTGTCTTCGATCAATCAACACAAAGTCTTCGATCAACACACTTCAATCAACAAAACATTGTCAATAAAACAACTCTCACCACATGGTGCATGTCTGTCGTCACCAGCATCATCCACACCTCGCCTCTCCAAGCCAATGAAGGCATTGGCTTCACACCCGTTTTCCTCTCCATATCTTTCCAAGGAAGTACAGCGCAGTCTGCACAGTTGAATTTTGGTACCATTGTAAGTACTCTTTTAATTCAGATTCCTTGACACCATTCACCTTGTCTACTAGCCACTACAGGTCACAATTCTATGGCCGCGAGAATTTGGAGGGCAGGCGGTGCCTGTAATTCGCCATATTTCCTGGACAGAATTGGTTTCAAATTTCGAGTCGCAGTCTGTCCCACAGCTCATGGTGAGTCTCGAATCGTGCGCAGCACTGACACACATTGAACCTTACATTCATGCAGATACCCTTCTTGCCACTTCCGCCATCTTTCAATCCCTTGTCCGAGGCCAGTTGGTCTGTGCTCGCCAGACAGGTGGAAACTTGGCTGGTTGACACCATTCGGGACGTTAGAGCGCCTGAGTGGGCTTGGGGCTGTGACGCATTCTGGATGGCATTCATTGCCGCCAATCCAGACTTTCCTCGGGGGCCCTGGCCTAACTGGAACCCTAAGATCAGTTTGGAAGGGAAATTTATCGAGTCTTGGACAGCGGACAACCTGACTATACCAGCTGATAGCCCTCTCAGCCAGGACATCCTGGATGAGATTCGCACAAGTATATGGGATGATTTTCAGCTTATTTTTACCGTCCCTCCGTTTTTGTAGCGTGTTTCATCTAGTTATATTTGCTGTTTGTAAATTAGATCAATCAATGCTTGCCCTCGTTCTGCCCGATCATGCTGTGAAGCACCGGTGTTAGAGTAAATACAGAAATACAGTAATACGATAACACTATGACTGTATTGCAAACGCACAACATAGGTGTGAGGCCAACCAGACCTCAGCATTTGACCCCGTCGCAATGTTAGGCTATGATGGTTTGTAATATGTTAGTACATGATAGTGGACCGTCCCTGACACCATACTCGTCAGAGAGGATCCCAATATCTGCTTGACCTTTGCTACCAATATCCTTTTATGGTTTGCTTCATGCTCCCATTACTACATTGACGGAAATCCTTTGGTAAATGTATATATTATGATAGTACTGGGGTTCGCACAGATCCCATAAAGGTATGATTACGCATGCTAGGTTCAGGTTTATCCCGATTAGCAGTGTACGCCTCTCTTCGAATTAATGATCGTTTTTAATAAAATAATTAAGCCCTTCCCTGGACACGCTCGGGTTCAAGTCCAGCCTTGAGGGTGCACTTATTTGCCAATGTTTTTATTTGTCGTCACTGGCAGTCTCCGAATCGGAATTCCAATGTCCTTTTCGCTTTCACTCCCCCCTTTCCCTTCCACAAATCTCTAGCTCATGCAGCCCTCTAGTCAAAAGCATGAGGCACTGCCAGCAAGCAAGCCCTCTTACCGGCACCCTCTACCAATATCTCGCAACGAGGCAGCGAACCAGATAGGCAAATGTCTCACAGTCTCTGTTCCACTCATCGCCCAGGACCACGCCCACAGCTATCCCAACGTCGAACCAATATTTTTCAATGTTTGACTCAATCTCGATGCCTTTGCCACTTATTTCGGAACTGTCCGCGATCGTCGCTTTGAACCTGGCACACAAGAACCCAAATGAACCAGTTGTTATCACATGATACCAAGGGTATGGCGATGTCTATGCATACGAGGACCATTCGTCTTGATTCGTTGGACATGGTCCATCGGTGCATTTGTGCGTTCGCGTGCGGCATTGCCATGCTCCCGCCAATTTTTATTAGGGTCAAGTGGCTTTGTTTTTGTACACGAGGGTCGCTTCGACGATAAGGCCTCGGTGCATTCGTGCGTTCGCTTGTGTGCGTGCGGCACTGCCCTCCTCGACCCACAGACAAACTATTTGATAAACCTACGACCTTGGCCAGACCATTGCATACCAAAGAAACCTGCATAACCACGCAACCATATATCATTGATATTTGAACCGCATGTGATAATCAGGGTCAAGTGGCTTTGTCTTCGCATACGAGAATCGTTCGCCTTGATACGTCTGGCACGGTTTATCGGTGCGTCGTGCGTTCGCGTGCGGCATCGCCCTCTTCCCGAATCCAAATGCATTTTAAACAGGGTCAAGTGGCTTTGTCTTTGTACACGAGGATCATGTGCCTCGATACGTCGGGTGCGGTTCATCGGTGCATTGTGCGTTTGCTTGTGCACGCGCGGCATTGTCCTCCTTGACCCGCCCAAAGTACATGACACACTCATACCACTGATGCATACCGCACAAGCTTATATGACCCAGTCATGTCATTGACCACACCAGTGCTCGCACACAGAAACCACGCACTCATTTTTGGACTGATGATAACTAGGCAGAAATTCTCATACTGCACAGGCCCATCATAGCCCGTTGCCTATCCGCATGGACAAGATTCAACCCGATGCATGATGCATTGCTTATGGAGCAAGTCGTGGGCCAAGCATATGATGATGACCTTGAAGGAATTTATCGGTGCTTCCATGCTTCGCATGGCATAACTCAGTCTCCCTGAGCTTTTGAATTGTTGTCCGGTATCTAACACGTAATTTGTGATTCACAGACTATTGTCGTCGAAAGCTCTATTGTGATGTCAAGCTGTTGCCATACGCTGTCGTTTACCTTCGGCTCGGATCTCACTTAATTCGCGGCTGTTTCAGGCATATGTGGAGTTTCTGTACCCACGCAGCAAAGTGAAAGCCCGTTGGGAGCATATCTTGTCAAACCCAGTTGCCAGTAACGGAATTCATGAAAACGTATCCGGAATGGGTTGTAACCCCTACATTTCTTTTGCAATCCTTTGTGTTTTGCATGGTCGTAAGTTATATGCATGTGTTCTAGTTCTTAATAACGCTCATTGTGGATTTCGCAGAGGCTCCGCCGCCTTTGACTTTGACAGCTCTTTCTGCCAGCGCGGGGCAGCCCCCATTGATTATGGGTCCTGCCGTCTTCAACTGGAGCCCTTGGGCCTGTTGAAGATTCTCGCACAATTTTTTGCCCCTCCCTTCTTCGTGAAGGATCTTCATCTGGAATTCGGTGCGCTGTTTGGATTGAAGAAGTTAGGTCCCGTTATTGTATTCCTCGATACTTTGCATTTATTCACATATGATAATGTATGATGACACGATATTAATCTTGCTGGTGCGGGCGTCTGCCCTCGTTTGTCTTCCTTCCGTGCTTTGGAACCTTTAGCGCTGGGTTTGAATATGTTCGCGATAACTATCAGACAACTCTCAGCAATATAATCCTAAGATTCCTTCGTTCTTAGCACGCCAAGGCCTCTTAGTAATCTCGCCGAATGCGTTACAAGGATGTCGATGAAAGCCAAGTCTTGCGGTTGCCCATGTCCTGAGGCTGGTAGCGCGTGCGGCTCGACGGTTTCACGGAGGTCAGACCGTTGCTGGAGTCTGGCCTCATGGAAAGGTTATTGACATTGTGAGAGATTGAAAAGTGTTAAAGACGTTCAAACAAAACCCTTACCCTGTGTCAGTGGGCTTTGCTTATCTTCACAACTCAAGCACAAACTCCCTTGCACTCACGAATACCCTTGGCGTCAACAGTATCACACGTGTTCATGGTCGTTGCAGGCGCCCAACCAACTTGTTGTGCACCTTCGCTTATCTCTGTGAGCTCAGGTTCTTCCCAAATCCACTGGCTTTTACTTTGGATCCAAATACCTATAGCTTTCACATCCTTATGCCAAAGGCATCAAGCGTTGACGGCGCCAAGGACTGGCGCGCCCATGCCAACGAGCAGCCTGTCCCGGAACAGGATGCTTTGTGACCCCCAGAGGATTCAGAGTAAGTTGCGGCTTCCTGGGATCTGTTACCTGTACAACAGCAAGATAGGGAGCGGGAAACTAATGGACCTTCGGGGCGGAGTTACTATCAGGGATGTAAGTGATTCTTCCCAGATTCTTTTGATGCAATTCCTCACCAGAAGTGCAGTTCAAACACAGGGCCTTCCCAGCCATCAGAACCTAACAAACAGGAAAGCGCATCAAAAGCTGCACTGAACAGCAATTTAACTGTGTAAGTTCTTGTCGATGGCGATTTTAAACAGGCTCGTGAATTGCCTCAGCGACGCAGAAAATGTCATCTCGGAGAAGGACCAGCAGACTCTGACCGAATTGTCAGTGAAAAGTGTTGCCAGGCGATTACAGCTGACAACACCCTCATGCAGAACAAATGTCAGACCATTGTAGCTAGGGGCCCATTTGCCTGATGCGAGGAGAGGAACTTTAGAATCATACAGTAAGGGAGGACTCGGAAACTGAAGGATATTATTTGAACCGTCTGACTCGGATGGACTAGCATTAACAGTTAGATCTAATTTTCAGAAAAGGTGATCTCACGTTCCAGAGTCAAAACATGTGTACCGAACTGACGTTACAACGCTGCCGGATTACAAGTTTGGTTAGAAATACAGTTGCATTCAGCAAGAAGTTTCTTAATCATAAAATCAAATCACTACTTACCAAGACCACAATTTAGATTAGTATCCGCTCGCAAACTTCCTTAGTGCGTTGATCAATCGATCAGTGACTGCGGCTTTACCCGACGACATTGCATCATGGGCCATTTCTGGCTTGATCGTTTGCCCCCCGCCCGTTAACTTAGACGCCTTCTGCGAAGCGCAGTCCATGGAACACCAAGTGATTAACAGGTCCGAGTCTCACCTGACAAACGTTGAAAGACATTCAACCACGTAACATTGGGCCCAGAGGGAGGAGGACCCTACATTGAAAATAGGTAAGTATATGATCACAGTACTCGTACACGAGTCGCGCTGAATATATAAATCGAAGCACGAGTGTCAACAAAATACCCTACAAACGAATTACACTCGCAGGCGCAGCAGGCCAGCGACTTCAGAGAGTCGGAACGTTGATATCGATCTTCAAGCGCAACTTGGTTCAGTCCGACTATATATACTAGTTATGGGAAACTACAGTCGACCCCAGTCCAATCTCACGAAAATTCTCGGCGTCAACGCTCGCAAGCACGTGTTCCTCATGCTGGTAGCCGCCTAACCAACTTGCTGTGTACCACAACTCTCCTCTGTCCGCTCGTCCAAGACTCTTCCCATTTTCACTAGCTTTTCTTGGAATCCAATATAGTGGTATAACTTCCTTATGTCACAAGCATCAGGCACCGACGATGTCGAGGATCAGCGCGCCCACAACGATGAACGGCCTCCCCCGCAAAATAACACCGTAGGACCCATCGAGGAGTAAGTTGCAGCTTCCTGTGATCAATCACCAATCTAACAACAAGATAGGGAGAATATGAATGGCGAACCTTCGGCGGAGCTGCTACCAGGGAGGCAAGTGTTCCTGCCCTGATACATCTGCGCCGCTCCTTACCAGGACTGCAGCTCGGACATAGGTCTTCCTCAACCATCAGAACCTGACTTACAGCGATTTACTTCCAATGTTGTACCGGACCATCATTTAGTTCCGTAAGTTCCTATCAATGACGATATAAAAAGGCTCCTAATTTGTCTCAGCGAGCCGGACAAGGTTGTGGCGGAGGAGGGTCAACCTACTCTGAGCGAATTGTGAGCGAAAAGATATGACGAGCGATCGCAGCTGACCAAATTCTATGCATAGAGCAAATATTATGAAGCAAGTATTAGTTGTTCTCCAGGACTCGACGATTGCATCGAAGAGTGGCAAGGACAGCCGTTCTCGTTTCTGGGGGGTATATAAGAGGGTCGCAGAGGAACACGACAACGAGTTCCTCGAGCGATACACTACTGACATGGACATCGTCTTGATCTTCGTAAGTTTAGGACCCTTATCTTTGATCCGTTTTGAGATTGATGTTTGATTAGTCTGGTCTTTTCTCTGCTGTCAGCACATCTTTCATCGTCGCGATGGAGTCCAATCTCAGTCCCGACCCCAGCGATACCACAAATGCCCTTTTGAAGCAACTCGTCCAGATCGGACTCGGCAACTTTGCTCAAGTGGGCTCTACTCCAGCAGACCCAGCATCTACATGGTCGCCGAGCGACCCTATGGGTTCAAACGATCGCATACGCAAGCTTGTCCATGAGCTTGCTCGCTGCATTCGGGGCCGTGTTGGGCAAGCAGTGGCTCGGGTACTACAAGTCGCACAGATATGGTCGCGGCTCGGATGAAGAACGAAGCAAGCGCAGGCAAGAGAAGTTCGACGGCCTCATGACATGGTATTTCGATGCTGTCGTGCAATCATTTCCCGTCTTGCTTCAGATCTCCCTCCTCCTCTTTGGGATCGCCCTCGGAGCCCACATATGGAGCGAGCAGCCCAGCGTCGCCTGGGTGATAATTGCCACAACTATTTTTGGATTTCTGTTCTATTCAGCTGACAGTGATGGCATCCTTGATATCTCCGGCCTGTCCATTCCAGGACGCCAATATCAACGGTGCTGTATATGTTGCACACCGACAGTAAGATCATTTCGCTGAATTCTGGCTCTTGTTCCCCTGTCTGAATCAACATTGCAGGGGTTCTACGCCAAGTGTTCAAACAAACCCTCAGATATTTCCAGCAGCTACGCTGGTGAGCCATATTTTCTTAGATATGCTCATATTTTGACTGTTGTCAGGTGTGCTGCAACGATTGCTTGGTATCGTCAGATCGAGGTGGGCCCGAATGTCTGAAGTACTTGCAGGTGACGTTTTTATCTACTCTTACACAGGATACCCAGTGCTTATTTCACTTCACAGGTCCTGTGCACGCTACTGGCGCATTCGCAAGACGTTCTTTTTGGATGTTATTTGCTATCCTTCACAAAGGGTTGCGTTCTTTGCTTCCGCACTCTTCGGAAAAGGTTGGAGACTTGGAAGCACCACCGCTCGACCAGTATCTAGATGATTTGGAGGAAAATGATGGCACCCTTACCCTCGGCCTCCCGGACATTCCCGCCAGCGATCTCGAAGCACCTAGTATCAAATGGCTACTGGAGACATCTACGGACCCTGAAGTGTTTCTTGCCGCTGCCAGGCTTGTTCCGCAGGTCGAATGGCCCCTGGATCTCGACATCTCGGACATGCTGCCTCAGCTGTATGATATCTTTACAAGTTGCGTCGACATTCAGAATCACATTGTACCGTCGTTGGAGGAGAAAGCCTTGGCATGTACAATGGCTCTAAGTCATCTATACTATGGACGTGTTCTTCAGGCATATCCTGGCCGTGGCGAATTTCTTGGTCGCGAGAGAAGAGACTATGGCACGTTTCTTGATATGTGGATGATTTTGAAGTGGAGTCGTCCAGCCGACCTGACGATGCTTGACACGACCATTGATCTTTGTTCAGAAGATTCCCATTTTTTTTGTCAGTAGATGTTTATTCCGACTCTGTCTTGCAGTGGTTGTCACATTCTCTTCCTTACCACTTTGTTGCTGGGCAAGTGAATAAAGGCATGGAAAACTTCGCGACAGCGGTGATATCAAAATTGCTATCCTCTCCATCCTCTCCGTCAAATCAAATCGTAGCCAATTGCACTCTTCTTGCTTGCGTCATGGTCGGGGCTCAGGTCGACAAGAAAGACATAGTTCGGTTTGATAAAAGGTGCCATCGACTCATTTGGTAGTTTTTCTGCCATGATTAACAAAGAGATCGTGTAGTTCTGCTCTGCCTCGACTCAAAGAGTCCCTTTTGGCGCAGTTCCAAAAGGCTCTCTGGGCATGCGACGGAGGCGAGCTCGATAAAGATGACACAGGAGTCGCACGCCGGGCATGGAACCTCCTCAACATCATCTGTCGCGTCCTCGAGCTTCCCGGATACTGCAGTCCTTCATACCACACCATGCGTAACCTGGATGTGTGCAGGAAGATATATTCACGAGCAAGGTCATCCGAACAAAACGATGCCTCAGTTTTGTTAGCAGCGCTGCAAAACGCACTTCACTTTACGTTCGCTGCTGCCAACGTATCCCGTGACCCTGCCCGGTTGTGGTATCCCAGCTCGTTTTCGCAAGGCGGTTCCCACTCACCAGAAGACATTGACTGGGTGGTGGACTACTTCAACTCCATCCATTCTGACGATCACGAAGCGGCATATGACATCCTATTGCTACTGGGTAGCGTGGAAGTGCGCTGCAGCCCCGCTAAACAACATCTGTTCATCGAGAGGCTCATCGCTTACATGGACAATAACATGCCTCGACATTTACGTCATGCCGCTCTTCGCGCTGCTCGCAGTGCCCGAGAAGAAATTGCCTCGATCGATGCCATTGATGATGCAAGGCTACAGGACATGGTTTTGACCCAGCTCTCCCCCGCTATTCTGTCCGTAGTTTGTCCGCACCCAGATATAACGCCGGTCGATGAAGATTCCGACGACATATCCGATTATAACCGTGACTCGTGCTATCTCGAACTGGTCTGTGCCCTCGCGAAGAATTCTAAATGGCACCCCCATTTATCTGGGGATCACCATATAGATCGGTGCATTAGCATGATTCCAGAGTACTGCCAATCCGAATACCCCAACCAGCATGCCTTTTACATAGCTGGTATCCTCCTCCAAATCACACCTGAACAGGCATCGGATACATCGCTCGATTCTTTTACAGAGCAGCAGTGGTGGGACGTGATGAGATGCGCGTGGAGCGATCCTCCCTTTGACTTGGACAACGCACGCTATTTCAAGTTCCTTGTTCTTGTGGATGGCACAAAGAAGTATATGCAGAATGCTTCGAAATCTGATCTCGAGCAGCTTGTTGGAAGTTTGGAGCGTTTTCTCGAAGGACTGGAGAGGGATATGCAATGGAAGAGGCAACTACGGGAATTGCATGGGGAGATGGGACCAGATACGCAGAGTTTAGAGCAGGCAGAGGGAACTGCTATTGCTGCGAAGGAGTTGAGGACTGCGGCAAGCAACATGCTAGAGAGCTTTGGTCAACAATTATCAGTAGCTAGCTGATTATTATGACGCACATTGTATTAGGAGTCCTGGAATCAGAGGAAGTCGTGTGACAGTGCATGTACGGAAGCGCGAAGTATCAAGACCTCAACAAAATCGATACTAATCATTAATTACTAGTCATCTCTGACTAGGTCATGCGTAAGGAACACCAGGCATGGGATGTAAATATTTGGGAGATCAGCAGTAAATGTCGACCGAGGGAGAGGAGGTTGTTCCACGGGGTCAAAACTGGACATTATCACTAGCGAAGTTTTGCACTTGGTTGCCCCAGTTACATTCATTCATCGATATACACAGAAAGACAAAGAAGGGGCGACAAACGCAGACTTATTAAAAAACCATTTGTCTCCGTATTACAATCCTTCTTTGGCAGAGGTGTGAGGAATATCGTTGAAATAAACGGATTTATCCACCGGAAACGGATCGGTGTTGTCCTCATCCACACTGTCTTCGTCTCCTTCCTCATGCTGGACGTCATTCTGCCCTTCGAGATGATCAGTTCTTGATAGGCCATCCGCGTTTCCCTAGTGTAGGTTTTGCAGTCTTAACCTCCGTTTCCTGGGATGTCCAGGCGATGAATGTGGCTCCTACATCCGAGACGTCGATACTGCTGTCAAAGCACAAGAACCCGCCTTCACGAAGTGCAGTTGCTTGTTTAGACGAAGTTACCATACGCAGCAGGCCTGCGGCTTGGGGGATAATTGTTGGATGCGTGTCGTATCGAGAACTGCGACGGGGACTTCAGTAATGTGATCGAGCAGCATGAGCGATAAGTACCTCCACGGCCAAGTTCTTGAGGATTTCGACCTTGATGGTGTCTGGGATGATTTATGAGGACTTATCGATGGTGCTAACGTGTTTCAAATGATGGTCATACATGGACGTAAATGTCAGGTCCTGTAAACACCATACTCGTCAGTTACGCCATAAAAAACAATGGGACACATGCAACACTCGAGAACGGTGAACATCATATATGTAGCACCGAAACTGAGCAAAATTGGACGGGACACGTCGGAAAATGAAAATCGGATGAATACGATCTGAATGGCTGTCATGGTCTGTCTTGTGGTAAGACTGTACGATGGGGAGGCCTGGAGTTGTAGTAATATATCACTGTACATTAGCCAAGTATCATTTCTGTGGATTTCGAACGAGGTAAAAAGGGCCAACTGAAGCTGAAACCATGACTCAGTCCATTGAATGTGTTCATTGCTCGGGTTCCGAAGGGGGATGAGTGACCTAATTGAAGAGTCAAGACCAGTCACGGTGACCAACTCAAAGTTGTTTTACGAAGACGATTCCAAGACGCCCTCTTTTCCCGGTCCTATCATCTATCTTTTCACCAACCTTTAGATTTCATTATAAGTACATGTAAATTAATGCTTGGATAATGAGTCTATGCTTGAAATTTGATGTAAATGTTGCTTTACACGACGACTCACTCCGCAGCTTGAGGTTGTCGGCAACCCCCGACCACCCGGGCCATTACGCCACTACATGCTGCATGTGCATGATACAATCTCTACTTTCAAAATTATTATTTTCATCACCTCTAGGGGAATGGAACCCTTCGCACACGAGAAATCATACACCGCCGGTATTCAGAGTACAATGAGCTTCATGGTTATCTCGGGCTCAGACAAGGAAAACACTCGTACTGCATGAACATAATTTGGTGAACTGTTCTACAATGTTGCATTCTCATGTAGGTGCTACACCATGCTCGGAGATCTGATCTGTATTAGGTGGTTCTTTGTACACTCTACTCGAGACTGAAGCGTCGGAGTTGTATGAGATCCACTTCACGAGAAGTTAAAGAAGCTAAGCCACGACATAATCTTGAGGCCTAAGAATGTCATGGTCAGTCGCCCCTTCAACTTCCTTCCCCATTTCGCATCTCGCTGTCACCTGTCTAACTTTTTCTATCCATATCTTCGGCGTGAATCGTACGATCACCACAGACAACGCCTCTGCATTTTGCTATGGAGTTGCAGGGGATCTGACGCTCATTCTCTGACTCACTGAAGTAATGTCTGGGTGTATCATATAACTCGTGGGGTTTGTATTTGGTTTTGACGCTGATCGACTGTTCTTCCAACAGTATGACTAGGTGTTAATTTCTCAAATTGTACTGATGATCAACACGAGTTTGCTTCAAGTTGATTTGTCGGATGCAGCCCGGCAATATTCAGGCGAGTGCCAATCGTTGATTCAATATCCGATTGATGAGGCGTCTGACGTATGGATGCAGCGTGGTCAACGTTCGTGTGGCTTTAAAAGAAATGTGGTCAAATGCTACAACGCCCTAGCACCATCCTAACATTCCTACTAAATCGCGATGGCTGCAAGGTACGTAGCATCTATGGAAGATCTTTGTGCCGTATTTTTTCTAACATTGATAAGCAGGAAGAAGCATACAAATATCGTCCTCTTTGGGCAGGCAGGGGCAGGCAAAAGCTCACTCGTCAATCTCATGGCAGAAAAGGACGTAGCAATCACATCCAATGACATGAAATCATGCACATTGCGCTGGAAAGAATATCCCATCGAATTCGATGGCGAGTCTTATAAGGTGTTCGATACCATTGGACTTGAAGAACCGCAGCTAGGAATTCCACAATACCTCGATGCTATCGAGAATGCCTATACTCTCATTCAGCATTTGGAGAGCCAAGGCGGAATTGATCTACTTCTGTTCTGCATGCGCGCAGGCAGACTCACCGCTACCCTTCAAAGCAATTACCGCCTCTTTTACGAGTTCCTTTGTGACAAGAAGGTTCCCATCGTTATAGCGATCACGGGCCTGGAAATTGAGCGCAAAGACATGGATGATTGGTGGAAGAGAAACGAAGAACTCTTTCGTCGCTACAAGATCCAAGTCGCTGATCATGCATGCATCACCGCCATCAAAGGCAATTATGAAGACAAGTATGAACAATCGCGTACCACAATCCGCAAGCTTGTCAAGAATTTCACTGCTGACGGGCAGAAGCTAGCATGGAACGGTGCGAACGGAGGAAATAGCCTGTTTGTGTCGTTCATGCGTAAGCTAAAGGAGCTACTCGTGGGCAATGGGAAATTGAGCGCGAAGAAGGATATGGTCCCTCGGCTCATCAAGCGTTGCGGCATGTCTCCAGATGTCGCAAAGCAGTTGGTTCATAGAATCAAGAATGACGTGGTGGAAGGAGCTACTTGATTTCCTGTGTCCGATAATTCGTGCTCAGGCTCATTCGGTTGTCACGGTAGTAGACCTTGTTCTTACTAATATGTCGTTATACGTATTCTACTCAAATTCTGCGTACAATAATATTCTGCATTTCAAGTCTACTTGAAACAGGCATGAAGCTCTGAAGCTCTGAAGGAGTAGTTTGCGGAGCGAGTTATTATATGCATCACAAAGAATATAAATGGTTCAATCTCACTGCGCGGCTCATCACCCGCTGGATAGGTGATGATTACGAACTTATAAGGTTATTGTCTCAATGTGTTGCCGGTCTTCAACAAAACATGCAAGTTACTATCCTAAAAGTATGTCGTCTAAGGACAAGATTGTGGTTATATTGTATTTCCTGAGTTACTATATTGTCGAAGAGCACACCGAAAGAGTATTTTTGTAAAGACATATTGGCAGGAACAAGTTGTACAACCGGAGGAGCCTGAGTACGAATTATCAAACACGGGAAGTCAAGTAGCTCTTCATACCACGTCATTCTTGATCCTATCAGCCAACTGTTTTGCGACATCCGGGGACATACCGCAACGCTTGATGAGGCGAGGGACCAAATCCTTCCTCGCAAGCAACTTCCCATTCCCCACAAGTAGCTCCCTTAGCTTACGTACGAACAACACGAGCTGATATCCTCCCATCCACGATGCTTGCCTCTGCCCGTCAGCAGTGAACTCCTTGATAAGGTTGCGGATCGCTGTGCGTGAATCTTGGTATTTGCTTTGGTAGCAGTCGTTATATCCGGTGATGGTGGTGATACATGCATGACCAGCAACTTGGATCTCACATCGGTTGAGTGCGTGATGTCCATACTCCCACCAGTCCTCCATCCTGCGCTCGGTTTCGAGGTTTGTGATTGCTAACACGATGGGAACCTTCTTGTCACAGAGGAACTCGTAAAAGAGGCGGTAATTGCTTTGAAGGGTAGAAGTGAGTCTGCCTGCGCGCATGCAGAACAGAAGTAGATCAATCCCGCCTTGTCTCTCTAAATGCTGAATGAGAGTATAGGCATTCTCGATGGCATCGAGATATTGTGGAATCCCTAGCTGTGGTTCTTCGAGTCCAACGGTCTCGAACACCTTATAAGACTCGCCATCGAATTCAATGGGATATTCTTTCCAGCGCAATGTGCAAGATTCCAGGTCGTTGAATGTGTTTGCCACTACGTCTTTTCCCGCCATGAGATTGACGAGTGAGCTTTTTCCTGCCCCTGCCTGCCCAAAGAGGACGATATTTGTATACTTCTTCCTGTTTATCAATGTTGGAAAAATATGACACGAAGAATGTAGGAAATACGTACCTTGCAACCATCTTAGAAGGGACACGACACTGTCCAATGAGCTTGCAGACAGCCTCGTATGACTGGGCGCGCCGTTCCATGCGAGATCTGATCATTGTAGCTGTGGTGATACATGCGTGGCCAGCAAAGGTCATCCCCAGGTTTGAGATGGTTCGCTCATTAACCCTCCACCAGTCTTCCATCTCCGGTTGATAGGATTCCAAACATGTGACGACAAGGACAATTGGAACTTTCCTCTTGACTTGGGAGCGGATTAATTCATAATTCCGGCGGAGTGTCCGAATTACTCTCTCGCCCCGCACACAGTACATGACGAGATGAATGCCACCTTGCTCCGTCAGAGTTCGAATGAGTTTCTTCAACATTCTTCGAGCTTTCTCGTCTGGGACTATACCTTCAGGGCCTTCGCCAAGACCTGGAATCTAGTTTAGTCATGGCCGTGGAGAGCAACGAACTGGACCAACCGGCCGTATCGAAAAACTTTACCTTCAACGTCTCGTTTTGAATCAAGATATTGTCGTACACATTGATTCCGCTTGTACATCCCCCAGCATCGAAAGACGTCACTGCAATGTCCGCCCCAGCAATCAAATTTACCAAGGAACTTTTACCAGCCCCGGCTTCTCCGCAGATGACAACGTTGCACGTGTCCATACGGTGCGGAGGTTCCCCGACTTCAGTATAGCTGGAATGAGCATCACCTTGATATAAGGTGGAGGTCTAGTTACAAGTTAACCCTATGCTGAGAGAGATTTTAAACACTACTTACACTAGATAGGCGTCTTTCAGCAGGATTCGACATTGCAATAATGACTTCTCTATAGACAAGAAAGCGAATGTACGTCTTGACTTGCGCGTTCGGTGTTTTTGAGTGGCGTCAGCTCTTCTTCAGTTAAACCCGATTCGCTAGGACAGGAGTTGGTATGTTCATCCGGACAATGAAGACACATGGATTCAGCATTTCCGTACACGTGAAAACCAGGTCTTGGATGGCGTAGCGGCGCGAGTTCATGATTAATATTACAACCATACTGCCTAAATGCATTCGGCTTCGTACATCTAGCTGCAGTTTGCCTCGCTGAGGTGGTGAGGACTCGGCTGTGTACTTGACACCAAAGGTGGGCACTCACTCAAGTGTTGATACTGGACTCTGTGGGTGCTCAGGGTGATCGAAATCCGTCAAATGATCACTGCTGGGCCTAAGGCCCGAGGCGCGAGTAGTGAGTGCCTGCGGAAGGAACCAAGCGACATCAACTACAGGTCGTTTCTAACATCGCACTCGAAAACATGGCACACTCGTTCTGATGACTACTCCGCACCATACCCGATCAAGAAACTCCGCACATTTCATCACCAAAACTGCATCTACCGCACCAATCATGGTGCGGTTACGGTTGGGTTCGACTGATGGCCTTGCCCCTCCCTTGTTCAGGATCGTGTGGATTACAGTTTTGTGATCAGGCTATGTAAATATTTCAAGGACAGTGGCTTTAACATTATTAGTCATCAATGCATCAGGTCTATGGAAGTATGCAAGCATGGGTATCTGCTCGCAAACTTCCTTAGTGCGAATCGATCAGATCGATCAGGACTGCCACATCTGCATTTTACCCGACGAACATTGCATCATGGGCCAAATTTCTGGCTTGATGTCAACTTCATGCTCACTGCTTTCCGTTACCTTAGACGCCTTCTGCAAAGCGCGGCCCATGGAACACCAAGTGATTAACAGGTCCGAGTCTCAGCCGACAAACGTTTATGGCACAGAAACACATTCAACCGCCCGTAACAATTGGGCTTAGAGGGAGCAGGACCCTACATTGAAAATAGGCAAGTATATGCACACGGTACTCGTATGCGAGTTAACAAAATACCCTACAAAAATGAAGTACACTCGCAGGCCAGCGACTCAAAACGCTGACATCGATCTCGAGCGCAACTTTCTTCTTTGGTTCGAACTTCGGTCTGACTATACTAGTTATGTATGGGAAACTATAGTTGACCCCAGTCCACTCTCACGAAAATTCTCGGCGTCAACGCTCGCAAGCACGTGTTCGTCATCCTGGTAGTCGCCTAACTAACTTGCTGTGTACCACCACTCTGCTCTGCCCGCTCATTCGAGACTCTTCCCATTTTCACTAGCTTTTCTTGAGATCCAATATAGTGGTATAACTTCCTCATGTCACAAGCATCAGGAACCGACGATGTCGAGGATCAGCACACCCACAACGATGAACAGCCTTCCCCGCAAAATGATACCGTAGGACCCATCGAGGAGTAAGTTGCAGCTTCCTGTGATCTGTCACCAATCTAACAACAAGATAGGGAGAATATGGATGGCGAACCTTCGGCGGAGCTGCTATCAGGGAGGTAAGTGTTCCTGCCCTAATACATCTGCGCCACTCCCTACCAGCACTGCAGCTCGAACACAGGGCTTCTTCAACCATCAGAACCTGACGTACAGCAAATTACTTCCAATGTTGCACGGGGCTGTGATTTAGTTCCGTAAGTTCTTATCAATAGCGATATAAAAAAGCTCCTAAATTGTCTCAGCGAGGCGGACAAGGTCGGGGCCGAGAAGGACCAACCGACTCTGAGCGAATTGTGAGCGAAAAAGAATGCCGAGCGATTGCAGCTGACCACATTCTTCGCGTAGAGCAAATATTATGAATCAAGTATTAGTTGTTCTCCAGGACTCGACGATTGCATCGAAGAGTGGCAAGGACAGCCGTTCTCGTTTCTGGGGGGTGTATAAAAGAGTTGCAGAGGAACACGACAACGAGTTCCTCGAGCGATACACTACTGACATGGACATCGTCTTGATCTTCGTAAGTTTAGGATCCTTATCTTTGATTCGTTTTGAGACTGATTTTAGATTAGTCTGGTCTTTTTTCTGCTGTCAGCACATCTTTCATCGTCGCGATGGAGTCCAATCTGAGTCCTGACCCTAGCGACATCACAAATGCTCTTTTGAAACAACTCGTCCAGATCGGACTCGGCAACCTCGCTCAAGTGGGCTCTACTCCAGCAGACCCAGCATCTACATGGTCGCCGAGCGCCCAGACCCTATGGGTTCAAACTGTCGCATACGCAAGCTTGTCCATGAGCTTGCTCGCTGCATTTGGGGCCGTACTGGGCAAGCAGTGGCTCGGGTACTACAAGTCGCACAGATATGGTCGCGGCTCTGAGGAAGAACGAAGCAAGCGCAGGCAAGAGAAGTTCGACGGCCTCATGACATGGCATTTCGATGCTGTCGTGCAATCATTTCCCGTCTTGCTTCAGATCTCCCTCCTCCTCTTTGGGATCGCCCTCGGAGCCCACATATGGAGCGAGCAGCCCAGCGTCGCCTGGGTGATAATTGCCACAACTATTTTCGGATTTCTGTTCTATTCGCTGACAGTGATGGCATCTTTGATATCTCCGGCCTGTCCATTCCAGACGCCGGTATCAACAGTGCTGTATATGTTGCGCATCAACAGTAAGATCATTTTGCTGAATTCTGTCTGTTATTCCCCGTCTGAATCAACATTGCAGGGGTTCTACGCCCAGTGTTCAAACGAGCATTCAGTTATTTCCGGCAGCTACATGGTGAGCCATATCTTCTTAGATATGCTCATATTTTGACCATTCTTGTCAGGTGTGCTGCAACAATTGCTTGGTATCGTCAGATCGAGATGGACCCGATTGTCTGAAGTACTTGCAGGTGACGTTTTTATTTACTCTTACACAGGATACCCAGTGTTCATTTCACTTCACAGGTCCTGTGCATGCTACTGGCGCATTCGCAAGACGCTCTTTTTGGATGTTATTTGCTATCCTTCACAAAGGGCTGCGTTCTTTACTTCCGCACTCTTCGGAAAAGGTTGCAGAAACAGAAGCACAACCGCTCGATCAGGATCTAGCTGTTTTGAAGGAAAATGATGGCACCCTTATCCTCGGCCTCCCGGACATATCCGCCAGCGATCTCGAAGCGCCTAGCATCAAGTGGCTACTGGAGACATCTACGGATCCTGAAGTGTTCCTTGCCGCTGCCAGGCTTGCTCCGCAGGTCGAATGGCCCCTGGATCTTGACATCTCGGACATGCTACGTCAGCTGTATGACATTTTTACAAGTTGCGTCGACATTCAGGAACACATTGTACCGTCGTTGGAGGAGAAAGCCTCGGCATGTGCAATGGCTCTAAGTCATCTATACTATGGACGTGTTCTTCAGGCATATCCCGGCCGTGGCGAATTTCTTGGTCGCGAGAGAAGAGACTATGGCACGTTTCTTGATATGTATATAATTTTGGAGAGGATTCGTCCAGCTGACCTGACGATGCTTGACACGACCATTGGTCTTTGTTCAGAAGATCCCCAACCTTTTTTCTCAGTAGATGCTTGTTCCGACTCTGTCTTGCAGTGGTTGTCACATTCTCTTCCTTACCACTTTGTTGCTGGGCAAGTGAATGGAGACATGGAAAACATCGCGATAACGGTGATATCAAAATTGCTATCCTCTCCGTCCTCTCCGTCAAATCAAATTGTAGCCAATTGCACTCTTCTTGCTTGCGTCATGGTCGGGGCTCAGGTTGACAAGAAAGACATAGTTCGGATTGATAAAAGGTGCCATCGACTCATTTGGTAGTTTTTCTGCCATGATTAACAAAGAGATCGTGTAGTTCTGCTCTGCCTCGACTCAAAGAGTCCCTTTTGGCGCTGTTCTCAAAGGCTCTCTGGGCATGCGACGGAGGCGAGCTCAACAAAGATGACACAGGAGTCGCACGCCGGGCATGGAACCTCCTCGACATTATTTGTCGCATCCTCGAGCTTGCTGGACATTCCTTTCCTTCAATTCATACCATGCGGAACCTGGACGTGTGCAGGAAGATATATTCACGAACAAGGTCATCCGAACAAAATGATGCCCCAGTTTTGTTAGCAGCGCTGCAAAACGCACTTCACTTCACGTTCGCTGCTGCCGACGTATCCCGTGACCCTGCCCAGTTGTGGTATTGCGGCTCGTTTTTGCAAGGCGGTTCCTACTCACCAGGAGATATTGACTGGGTGGTGGACTACTTTGACTTCATCCATTCCAACGACCACGAAGCGGCATATGACATCCTATTGCTACTGGGTAGCATAGGAGTGCGCTGCAGCCCCGCCAAACAACATCTGTTCATCGAGAGGCTCATCGCCTGCATGGACAGTAACATGCCTCTCCACTTACGCCATGTCGCTCTTCGCGCTGCTCATAGTGGTCGAGAAGAAATTACCTCGATCGATGCCATTGATGATGCAAGGCTACAGGACATGGTTTTGACCCAGCTCTCCCCCGCTATTCTGTCCGTAGTTTGTCCGCACCCAGATACAACGCCGGTTGATGAAAATTCCGACCGCTTTTTCGATTATTCCCGCGACTTGTACTATCTCGAACTGGTCTGTGCCCTCGCGAAGAACTCCAAATGGCATCCCCATTTGTCTGGGGATCACCATATAGATCGGTGCATTAGCATGATTCCTTGGTACTGCCAATCCGAATACACCACCCAGCATGCCTTTTACATATCTGGTATCCTCCTCCAAATCACACCTGAGCAGGCATCGGATACATCACTTGATTCTTTTACAGAGCAGCAGTGGTGGGACGTGATGAGATGCGCGTGGAACGATCCTCCCTATGACACTGGCAACACACGCTATTTCGAGCTCCTTGTTCTTGTGGATGGCACAAAGAAGTATATGCAGAATGCTTCGAAATCTGATCTCGACCAGCTTGTTGGAAGTTTGGATCGTGTTCTCGAAAGACTGGAGAGGGATATGGAATGGAAGAGGCAACTACGGGAATTGCATGTGGAGACGGGACCAGAGACGCAGAGTTTAGAGCAGGCAGAGGGAACTGCTATTGCTGCGAAGGAGTTGAGGACTGCGGCAAGCAACATGCTAGAGAGCTTTGGTCAACAATTATCAGTAGCTAGCTAATTATTATGACGCACAGTGTATTAGGAGTCCTGGAATCAGAGGAAGTCGTGTGACAGTGCATGTACGGAAGCGCGAAGTATCAAGACCTCAACAAAATCGATACTAATCATTAATTACTAGTCATCTCTGACTAGGTCATGCGTAAGGAACACCGGCATGGGATGTAAATATTTGGGAGATCAGCAGTAAATGTCGACCGAGGGAGAGGTTGTTCCACGGGGTCAAAACTGGACATTATCACTAGCGAAGTTTTCCACTTGACTGCCCCAGTTACATTCATTCATCGATATACACAGAAAGACAAAGAAGGGGCGACAAACGCAGACTTATTAAAAAACCATTTGTCTCCGTATTACAATCCTTCTTTGGCAGAGGTGTGAGGAATATCGTTGAAATCGATGAATTTGTCCACCGGAAACGGATCAGCGTTGTCCCCACCCGCACCGTCTTCGTCTCCTTCCTCATGCTCGACGTCATTCTGCCCCTCGAGATGATCAGTTCTTGATAGGCCATCCGCGTTTCCCTAGCGTGGATTTCGCAGTCTCAACCTCCGTTTCCTGAGAGGACCAGGCGATGAATGTGACTTCTACATCCAAGACGTCGATACTGCTGTCAAAGGACACGAACCCACCTTCACGAAGCGCAGTTGTTTGTTTAGACGAAGTTACCATAAGCAGGCCTGCGGCTTGTATGTTTGGATGTTCTTTAGCAACCGGCCGCTGCAGAGCGATGCGGGAGAATTGTTGAATGCGTGTCGCATCGAGAACTGCGACAAGGACTCCAGTAATGTGATGGAGTAGCATGAGTGATAAGTACCTTCAAATTCTTGAGGATTTCGACCGTGATAGTGCCTGGGATGATTTATGAGAACTTATCGATGGTGCTAGTGTGTCGAATGAAAGTCATATACAGACGCAAATTCCAGGCCCTGTAAACACCATACTCGTCAGTTACACCACAAAAAAAGCTCGAAGCCAATGGGACACATGCAACATTCGAGAACGGTGAACATCATATATGTAGCACCGAGACTAAACAAAACTGAACGGGACACCTCGGAAGATGAAAATGGGATGAATACGATCTGAATGGCTGTCATTGTTTGTCTTGTGGAAGACTTTACGATGGGGAGGCCTGGAGTTGTAGTATCTGTACATGCAATCATTGCAATGACTGTTCTCACCTGATACGGTCCCTGGGGAGCGAAGAAGCGCTTGTTGACTCGATCACCAATGTCAAGTCATCAAACACGTTACGAAGACTAAAGCTTGACTCAGCCGGCCCATATCTTGGTAACAATGATATGTCAAGTAGTAATGAAGTCGAAGCAAAACGCGGTTGCGCTACGGTGTCACACAAATGGAACCCTAACCTTAGAGTTGGTTTTCCTTATCTTCACAACTTGCAAACGATCAAAATAAGGTTTACAGTGTATCCCGGAGGATCTTCCTGCATTTCCACTCCAAGGGCAGATTGTACTCTGCTGTCGGCCTAAATCAAAAGGAGTCATGACTCGTTCAAAGGTCTGTGGTCTGCGACTAAGAAATTCTGTCTCGAGCCATACTCATGCGCAGAAATGGGTGAATTCCACTATACTCCATTTCTCAGAAGCGACAGCGAGGAGGCCGAGCAGGAAAATCGCGCGACGATGACGATCGCGGTATGCTAGAAAAGAGCGACATGAAAAATGAGCGCTTCAGCTCGTATTACAAGGCTCAGCACATCATTCCTGAGGAGGAATGGGATCAGTTCATGGAGGCATTGAAACGTCCCTTACCTACCACCTTCCGCATCGCTGGAAGTCGAGAGTACGCGCCTTTCTATTTTTCCATACCAGCTCCAATGATGGGGGTATTAGGATTGCTCATGCTCTCAATGACGCTATCAAGAAAACTTATGTCCCGTTGTTGAGCGATGTCGTTTTTGAGGGTGATGTTGTACCGCCTCCATCTCGGATTCCTTGGTGCGTCGTGGTCCCAATGTATTAATCATGCGTAACACTGATGCCGTACTTAACCAGGTATCCAGAAGACCTAGCCTGGCAATTCAATGTGTCCAAGAAAGTTCTGAGGAAGCAACAGGAGTTTAAAAAATTTCACTCTTTCCTTGTACACGAGACCGAAGTCGTATGTGATACTTCACCTCGAATCGAGCCTTTTGTGATGCATCTAACAGGGTAACATATCAAGACAAGAGGCGGTCAGCATGCTTCCACCGTTGTTCCTCGATGTCCAGCCACACCACAAGGTAAGGTTTTCCGGACTGCTTCCATATTGTTCAAAGTACAAACCGTAGCTCTGCAGGTCGTTGACATGTGTGCGGCCCCTGGTTCAAAGGTAGCAAATTTGTGACGTCATTGCATCCGTCGTTGATGGACCTTAGACAGCGCAACTATTGGAAGCTCTGCATGCGCAGGACACTGCAACAGCAACGTCCATTCCTCCAGGACTTCTGATAGCGAACGACAGCGATAGCAAACGGGCGCATCTTCTCATTCACCAATCTGCTCGTCTTCCCAGTCCGGCTTTCATGGTCACGAATTTAGATGCGTCAATCTTCCCTGTCCTAAGACTTCCTGCGACAACTGCGGATCCTCGCCGTGGCGTCAAAAAGTCTCCGAATCAACTGCTATTTGATCGCATTTTATGCGATGTGCCTTGCAGTGGTGACGGAACCCTACGAAAGAATATTGGGATATGGAAGCGGTGGCAACCTATGGATGGGAATGGCCTACACAGGTCTGTTTAGTACATGTGCTCGTCTTTCACCAGCTCATTTTGACAGCCTCCAAACCCGCATTCTGCAGCGGGCCATGCGCATGCTGGAGCCTGACGGTCGAATTGTTTATTCCACTTGTTCACTCAATCCTGTCGAAAACGAAGCAGTTATAGCAGCTGCCTTGAACTCTAATACTGGTGGGTGATTTAAGACCGTTACAGAACAATTATTGGAGTATGTTGACGCACGTATAGATTTCCAGTTAGTCGATGTTTCTGCGCAATTGCCGGAGCTGGTCAGACGACCGGGCATAAGTTCATGGGCACCCACCGTTAATCGCACAATAAATACTACTTTCAAGACATGGGACGCATACAATGATACTCTGACGGATGAACAGCGAACAGACAGCAAGATGTCGGAGACCCACTGGCCGCCCACTAATGCCGATTCCCTGCAGCTACACCACTGGTAAGTTTCACTTCGTGCTAGTTCCATTCCAACGTTCTCTGACAACGAGATTTTGCAAGCATGCGAATATACCCACATCTTCAGGATACGGGCGGATTCTTTGTTGCTGTACTCGAAAGAAAGCCGCGACAAAGTAGTGGTGCCAGTGTTGCAGTGTAAGTTCAAGCGTCATATTCTCCGCGATTTGTCCTTACGCTTGTCCAGGAAAAGAGATGCAGAGGAAGCTGAGATCCCTGTCCCAGAAGCCAAAAAGGTTAAGCTCGACCTTGGCGGTCTGCCAGAACCACAACCGAGCGCTTCATTTCCGCCTACACCGATGTCCGAGGACGAAAATTCACGCCTATTGGCATTGGACACTGTGGAGACAGATACGCAAACCGTCGCTGATACGAAGAAAACTACATTCAAGGGTAAACCCAAGCTCTCGGATCCCTCCTTCAAGGAAATGCCCTATACCTTCCTCGAACCCGATGATCCGACCTTGTTATCCTGCATGTGCGTGTTTCTACATCATCTTCGAACTCCAATTAACACTATCACAGAGATCAGCTTAATCTTACGACCAGCTTCCCGTCGTCGAACGTTCTTGTCCGCAATCCGGAAGGCGATGCGGTACGATCTTTCTATCTTACAAATGATCTTGTGAAAGCTGTCGTTCTTAACAATGATTACACTCGCATGCGCCTGATGACGAGCGGGACGAAGGTCATCACTAAGCAAGAGGCAGGGCGGGGACTTGAAGCACAGTTCCGTGTTCTTGGAGAAGGTTTACCTGTCGTTCTTCCGTATATCGACCCGAGCGTGATATTGGACGCCGAGTTTGCGACTCTAAAGACTCTTTTGATGACGTACTATCCGCTCTGCACATCGTTTTCGGGCCCGTTCCGATCTGTCATTGAAAATAGAAGTATGGCTCTTGCACTAACGATTTAGTCAGACTTCGCTTACATCGGGTTGTAGGTGCTGGAAGCCATATTGTCCGATTCTCGGCTGGTCAATCAAACGACTCGACGTAGGTGTATTTACACACTGGTACATACATCTAACTGACGTTAATAGGCTATCACACGACCTCCTCCTACCTTTGTGGAAGTCCAATGTATCCGTAACTCTCATGATCGACAAGAAGGCAAAAAGGTTTGTTTGAAATATTTTACACTCCATTTTCCTGGGTGACCCATCGACCGCTCTCAGTGCGCTCAGTTTACGACTTTTCGGTGAAGATATAACGACTGCTGCGCGTGATGGTGGAAAGAGGGCTCCTCAAACATCCCAACTACCACAAAATACGGGGGATATAGTCCCAGATGAAGGTGCCGATAACGGGGATGAAGAGATCCCCGAAGATGAAGGTGACATTGATGAAGCAGAACAGTAATACTGATAGCGAGTTGATTCTGTGCTTCCCCGGCGTCATGGGGGCTGCTCCTGTATTTGAACCCATGATTATCATAGCCCTTCGCAAGCTGTATTGTAGATGCTGTCGCGCTTTGGCTTGTACTAATGGTTGTTGCTATGAACTCTTAAATGTAAGTGGTGCATTTCATAGTTTGTACTTCAAAACGTAGCATGACCAAAGTTTGACCAAAGTTATCATGTGGTCTTTCACGAGCCCGTACCCCCCCAGGCTGTCCTTCCCAAACTCGATGACAAATCGAGAACGTGTCGAATTTCAAATCTAGGCGGTCACTTGACAGCTTGGCAGTGACATATCTTACGAACTTATTACATCCTGAGCCTATCAGACTGTCAGAACGTGGTTCATGATGGTTGCAGGCGCTTCAGCGCTCAGTTGCAGCTTCCTGTGTGTTACCACTGCCTTTCCTCATTCCACTGCAGGGATTTAAATAGTACCGCTCTCGGCACTGGCAGTGAGCTCACTTCAGGTGCTTGAGTCGCTTTCGTCGATGAGTGACAAATCGAGAAAGAACCTGTCAAATCTCAAATCTAGTCGGACTTGGCTTCCTTATCTTCGAACTTACACCAAGATGGCAACATTCGCGAACACCCTCAGCGTCAATGAAGACGTATTCGTGATGGTTGCAGGCGCTCAACTAGCTGTGTACCACCAGTGCCTATATCTATGCGGTCAGACTCTTCCCAATTCCACCGCAACTGCCTTGTAGTACCTTGGATCAAAATACCTATAGCTCTCATAGTCACTCATGTCGAACTCAACATCGAGCATTGACAGAGTCGAGGACCAGCAATCAAAACGTCACAAACAGGAATGTTCTTCCAAATTCGCACCGGACGGCGATTCAGCTTCGTAAGTTCCTATCAATGGCGATTTTAAACGAAGCTCATAAATTGTCCCAGCCGGATGGAAAAGGTTGTGACGGAGAATGATCAGCTGACTCTTGGAGAATTGTGAGCCACAAATTAGTCGAGCGAACGCAGCTGACGACACTCTACACGCAGAGCAAGTGTCATGAAGGAAGTATTGGATGTTCTCCAGAACTCGACGATTGCGTCGAAGAGTCGCAAGCATAATCGGTCTCGTTTCTGGGGGCTATACAGACGAGTCGCAGAGGAGCTCGACGACAAGGTTCTCGACCAATCCTCCAACGACATGGATAGTATCTTGCTCTTCGTAGGTTTAGCATCCTTATCTTTGTTACGTTTTGATATTGATGTTTAATCAGTCTGGTATTTTCTCCACTGTCAGCTCAGCCTTCATTGTCGCAATGGAGTCTAATCTCAGTCCCGACCCCAGCGACACCACGAATGCCCTTTTGAAGCAACTCGTGCAGATCGGACTCGGCAACCTCACCGCAGCAGACTCCACGCCCGCAGACCCACCATCTCCGTGGTCACCATCTGCAGCGGCTGTCAGGATCCAAATGATTGCATACGCGAGCTTGTCCATGAGCTTGTTAGCAGCATTTGGGGCCGTCCTAGGCAAGCAATGGCTCGGGTACTACAGGTCACACAAATATGGTCGCGGCTCGCTAGAGGACCAAGGAAGGCGCAGACAAGAGAAATTTGACGGCCTCGTGACATGGCATTTCGATGCTGTCGTTCAGTTCTTTACCGTTTTGCTTCAGATCTCCCTTCTTCTCTTTGAGATCGCCCTCAGCGCCCAAATGTGGTACGAGCAGCCGAGTATCGCTTGTGTAATCATTGCCGCAATGGTCTCCGGATTTCTGTTCTATCTGCTGACAGTGATGGTATGTTTGATATCTCCTTCATGTCCATTTCAGACCCCGATGTCGATGATCTTGCACATCCTGGGCACCGACAGTAAGATCATTTCGTAAATTCTCGTGGTCGTTCTCCGTCTGAATCAACGTGACAGGGGTTCTACGCCCAGTGTTCAAACGAGTCTTCAGTTGTTCCCAGCAGCTCAAGGTATCAGCACATGGTGAGCCATGTTTTCTGATGTATTCTCGTATTTTGACTGTTCCTTATCAGGCGCACTGCCACGATTGCTGGCCCTACTTTCCGAAGGACTGACAGGTGACATTCCTATCTACCCTTACACAATATACCCAGTACTCATTCATTCCCCAGGACCTGTGCGTGCTACCGGTGTATTTGCACGCCGATCTCATGAGCTGCTTTCCGCGCTTTACGAAGGGCTACGTTCTTTTGTTCGGCGCTCTTCGACAAATATTGTAGACTCAGAGGCACAACCGCTCGACCAGGATCTGAATGTTTTGGTGGAAGAGGAATTTGCCCATACCCTCGACCTCCCGGACATGCCTATCAGGAGTCTCGAAGCGCGTTGCATCCAGTGGCTGCTTGAGACATCCCCAGATCCTGAAGCATTTCCCGCTGCTGCATGGCTTGTTCCGCAAGTCGAATGGCCCTTGGATCTTGATGTTTCAGACATGCTGCATCAGCTGTCTGATACTTATACGAGCTACATTGACATTCAGGGGCATATCGTACCGTCGTTGGAGGAGAAGGCCTCGACATGTGCAATGGCTCTAATTCATCTATACTATGGATGTGTTCTTCAGGCACATCCTCACTTTGGCAATTTTATTTCCCGCGAGAGAGGAGACTTTGAAGTGTTTTTGGAGATTTTACGTGAAGGCATCTGTACAACAGATCGTACGGTTCTTCACACGACTATGAATCTCTGTCGTCCGAGTTTTCAGTGTGCTCCTGTTTGGGCAGAGGCTTGCCCTGACTACGTCCTTGAGCGGCTGTCACACCTTCTTCCTTATCACTTTGTCACTGGGCGAACGAATGAAGACATAGAAGAGCTCGCGATAACGGTGATATCAAAATTGCTATCCTCTCCATCCTCTTCGTCGACTCAGATCATAGCCAATTGCGCTCTTCTTGCTTGCGTCATGGTCGGGACTCCGGTCGACAAGAAAGACATTATTCGAATTGATAAAAGGTGCCGTCAATTCATTTGATAGTTTTTTCTGCAATGATTTACAAGGAAATCGTGTAGTATTATTCTGCCTAGACTCAGCGAGTTCCTTTTGACCCAGTTCCAAAGGGCTATCTGGGCATGGGATGGAGGCAAGCTCGACGAAGATAGCACAGGAGTCACACGTCGCGCATTCAGCCTCCTCGATATTATCTGCCGCGTCCTCGAGCTTGCTGGATATCACGATCCTTCATACTCCACTATGCGGAACCTAGACGTGTGCAGGAAGATTTATTCACGAGCGAGGTCATCCGAAGAAAACGATGGCTCGGTCTCGTTGGCAGCGCTGCCAAAGGCATTGCACTTCACGTTCGCTGCTGCCAACGTATCCCGTGACCCTGCCAAGTTGTGGGATGCTTTCCTGCCTTTGCAACGCGCTCCCCGCACACCAGAAGACTTTGACTGGGCGGTGGACTACTTCGACTCTATCCATTTGGACGACCATAAAGCGGCATATGACATCCTCTTGTTACTGGGTAGCGTGGAAGTGCGCTGCAGCCCCGCTAAACAATATCTGTTCATCGAGAGGCTCATCGCCTGCATGGACAGTAACATGCCTCCCCACTTACGCCATGCCGCTCTTCGCGCTGCTCACAGTGCCCGAGAAGAAATTTCCTCGATCGACGCCATTGGTGATGCAAAGCTATGGGACATGGTTTCGACCAAGTTCTCCTCCGCTATTCTATCCGTGGTTTGGCCGCACCCGGATACAATACCCGCTAATGACGATCCTGGCCGCTTTTTCGATTACGACTGCGACTTGTGCTATCTCGAACTGGTCTGTGCCCTCGCAAGGAATTCCGACTGGCATCCCCATTTGTCTGAGGATCGCCATATTGATCGGTGCATTAGCATGATTCCACAGTACAACGACAAGGAATACCCCAGACCGCATGTCTTTTACATAGCTGCTATCCTTCTCCGAATCACACCTGCACAGACGTCGGTTACATCGCTCGATTCTGTTACAGAGCAGCAGTGGTGGGACGTGATGAGAAGCGCGTGGTATTATGTTCCCTATACCATTCACAGAACACGCAATTTCGGGCTCCTTGTCCTTGTGGAACGCACAAAGAAGTATATGCATATCGCTTCGAAATCTGATCTCGAGAATCTGATCAGAGATGTGGATGATGTTCTGGACATGCAACTGGAGATCGGGCTGGAGATGCAAGGTTTACAGCCGGGAGAGGGGATCAGCATGGCTGTGAGGGAGTTGAAGACTTCAGCCAGCAAGATGTTGGAGAGCTTTGGTTAACAATTATTAGTCCCCTTATTATGATGCATGTCGTGTTAGAGTCCTGGAATCATCCATATGGCAATGCATGTGCGGATGCGGGAAGTATCAAGACCTGAACGAAAACGACATTAAATTATCAGTCGTCTCTGACTTGGTAGACACATGTCATGCGTGAGGAACAATGGACGTGACATGAAGACTATTCCGGAGACCAGAGCGTAAATGTTGAGTGGGGGAGGGGAGGTTGTTCCACAGTCAAAACTAGACATTGTCACTGGCGAGGTTTCGTGCTCGGCTGCCTTGCCATAGTCACATACCTTCATCGATATGCACAGGAAGACAGACGGGCAATAAACGCAGACTTATCAAAAAAAAAAAACATTCGTCTCCGTATCACAACCACCTTTCTTTGGTAGAGGTGTAAGGAACAGCACTGAAATCAACGAATCTGTCCACAGGAAGTGTATCGGTATTGTCCTTGCCAGCGCTGTCCCCTCTTCCATCCTCATGCTCCGCGTCATTCTGTGATCAGCTCTTCATACGCCGTCGTAGTTTAGCGTAGGCTTCAGTCTCAGCCTCTGGCGATTCTGGAGAAGTCGACTCTGTGTGATGGATGGGGCTTCTACATGTGAGATATAGATGATGCTGTCAAAGGACATGAACTCGCAGTTGGCTCAGCTTCAGACATAATAGATATAAGTCCAATCCGAAGGCAGGAACACACTCCTTGGGGGTTCAGTCGGGATTCGGCAGCCCCCGACGGCCCACCGTGGCCAATTAGTGTTGAACGTTCGAACTTCGACTCACCGAGACCTCTGGGGAATGGACCATCGTACACGGCCCCTAATTATACACCGGTGCGCTTCATGCATGCTTATCTCAGGCTCGAACAAACAAAACACTTGGACTGCGTAAACGTAATTTGGTGAAGTGGTTCATTATCATGTAAGTAATACCACACTAGCTGCTCGAAGTTTTCGGTTTGTAGGTTCAATTTTCTAGCACATACTAGCACTCAAAGTACTCAACGCGGAGTTGTACGAGATGTGCTTCACCGTAACCAGAAATCAAAGAAGCTAAGCCACGACATAATCTCGAGGCCTAGGAATGTCGGTCGCCCTTTAATTTGGCTCCCCATCTCACCCCTTCTTAACTATATCCTCACTGCGAATTGTGCGATCGCCAGACACCGCCTCTGCTATTTTGTCCCAAAGCTGCATGGAATTGCAGGGCCTCTGACGCTCGTTCTCTACACTCGTTGAAGTAATCTCTGAATGCGATTGGTATTTGGTTCTGACGCTCATCAAGCTCCTCTAACATGCGACTAGGCATTAATTTCTTGAATCGTACCATCAACACGCGTTTGCCTCGAATTCATTAGTCGAATGCGGCGTAGCAGCAATCTGTAGGCAAATGTCAATCCTTGAGTCAGTGTCTGATCGACGAGGGGTACAAGGAACGTGGTCAATGTTCGTAGGGTTTGAAAAGAAATGTGGTCAAACATCACGTACCTACTAGTACCATCCTGAACATTCCTTTCAAGTCGCGATGGCCTCGGGTTCAAGGTACGTACAATCCAGACAAGATCCTTGTGCCATATTTTTCCAACAATGATAAGTAGAAAAAATATCGTTCTCTTTGGGCAGGGAGGAGCAGGCAAAAGTTCACTCGTCAATCTCATGGCAGGAAATAACGTAGCAAGAACATCCATTGACGTGAAGCGCTGCACGCTCAAGTGGGAAAAATATCCCGTCGCATTCGATGGCGGTCATTATAATATATTCGATACTATTGGACTCGAGGAACCACAGCTGGGAGTCTCACAGTACCTCGATGCTGTTGAGAACGCCCACAGCCTCATCCAGACATTGGATAGCCAAGGAGGCATTGATTTACTCATGTTCTGCATGCGCGCAGGCCGACTCACCGCTACGCTTCTAAACAACTACCGGCTCTTTAACGAATTCCTTTGTGAAAAAAAGGTCCCCATTGTTATAGTAATCACATACCTCGAAAACGAAGAAGGAGAAATGGATGAATGGTGGAAGAGAAACAAAGAAACTTTCCGTGACCAGGGGTTCCATGTCGCTGGTCATGCGTGCATCACCGCCATTCGAGGCAGTTGTCCAGAACGGCATGCGCAATCGCGCACCACGATCCACGAACTTGTCAAGGAGTCTACTGCCGATGGGCAGAGACAAGCGTGGAAAGGAGGAGACAATCTGTTCGTGTCGTTGATGCAAAAGCTGAGAGAGCTACTCTTAGGGAAACCGCGTTCGAAGAAGGAGATTGCCTCTCGCCTCACCAAGAGGTGTGGTTTGTCTCTGGACGTCGCAAAGCAGTTGGCTGATAGGATCAAGAAAGACGTGGCGGAAGGAGCTACTTGACTTGACCAGTGACCTCCCGTGCCCGATAGCCTGTGCTTATTCCGGTCGTAGACTATGAAATTGATCTTGCTAATACGTCATGACTTACACGCATAATGATTCTACTCTTTAAATTTCTCCTCATATCGTATCACACATACCGAATTCGAAATAAGTACCCCACATACCACAGTTTCGCATGATGAGATTCCGAATGTCCGAAAGACATTGTTGCTGACCGTCAACTGAGCCATGGGCGCAGGCCTTTATATGAGGAAGATAGTCGCGAACAGGTATCGACTCGGAACGGCAGTGAGAGCAGACCATAATATAGTAGAAGAAATGAAGGCTAAAGCAATCGAAAAAGTCGTACACTTACATTATACAGGAATGTAGGATACGAATGAGATAAGATGTACAGTAAGAGAAACATAATGTATTGAACATGGGAATCTAAATAGTCACCTTGAAGCATACCGCAATATTTAGCATCAAGTAGCTACTACTACCATCCTACTAGCTAACAATTTTGCGACTTCTGGAGACATATGGCAGCGCTTGATGAGGTAGGAGACAACATCCTTTCGCACACGTAAATTCCCATTCTGCGCAGGCGATATCAACGACGCGACTCGGAACAAGTTGTTTGCTCCTTCCCGTGCTCGCTTCTGCTGGTCAGCAGTGACATTCTTGACAAGGTTCCAGATCGCTTTGCGTGATTTCTCTCGCAAGTCGGAATAGGCTTTGATGGTAGTGATGCAAACATGACCATTAACGCGGATCTTCTTCCTGAGAAAGTTCTTCTGGTTTCTCGTCCACCAGCTCTCCATGTCCGGCTCCCTTTCAAGTTTCGTGATCGCTAAAACAACGGGAACCTTCTTGCCACAAAGAAATTCGTAAAAGAACCGGTAATTGTTTTGGTGCATCGCATTGAGCTTGCCTGTGCCGGACACGCAGAACACAAGAAGATCAATCCCCCCTTCTTTCTCTAAAGTCTGGACGAGTTTACAGGCATTGAGGTACTGTGAAAATTCCAACCGCGACTCATTGGCTCCGGCGGTGTTAAATACCTCATAAGTCTCGCCAGGGAGTCCAACAGTATCAAACACCCTATAAGACTCGCCACTGAATTCGACGGGATATTCTTGCCAGACGTTTGTGCAGGGTTCAATGCCACAGAATGAGTCTGCTACATCCTTTCCCTCCATGAGGTTGATGAGTGAGCTTTTGCCTGCCCCCTTCGCCCCAAAGACCACGATAGTTTTATTCTTGCTCCTACTTACCAATGTGAGAAAAATACGATACACAAATTGTAGGGGATAACGTACATTGGGCTGTCTGCAGTGTGAACCCCTGTGATATTTGATGGGCGACACTGCTCGAACAGTTTGTGGACAGCGTTATATGACTGAGTGCGGCGCTCCAAGAACATGGGACCTTTCATTGTCGCCGTGGTGATACATGCATGGCCTGCAAATGTCATCCCCATGTTTGAGATGGCTGGCTCATTAACCCTCCACCAGTCTTCCATCTCTGGTTGATAGGATTCCAAACATGTGACGACAAGGACAATGGGGAATTTCCTCTTGACTTGGGAGCGGATTAACTCGTAGTTCCGGCGGAGTGTCCGAATCTCTCTCTCACCCCGCACACAGTACACGATGAGATGATTATTGCCTTGTTGTGTCAGAGTTCGAAGGAGCTTCTTCAAAATTCTTCGAGCTTCCTTATCTGGGACTGTGCCTCGGGGGCCCTCGTCCAGACCTGCAATCTGACTCAGTAACAGTCACGAAGAACGAAGAACTGGACCGACCGGGTGTATCGAAAAGCTTTACTTTCAACATCTCACTCCCATTCAAAATATCCGAGTCGTGCACATCGACTGCAGTTGTACATCCCCCAGCATCAGAGGATGTCACCGCAATGTTCCTCCCAGTGATCAAATTGACCAAGGAGCTTTTACCGGATCCGGCTTCTCCGCAAATGACAACACTGAATGTGCTTGTGCGGTGTCGAGGTTCCCCGACTTCGGTATGGTTGGAACCAGCCAAAGGTAAGATAGAAAGCTGATTTTAAGTTAACCTTAGCGGCTAAGTAAGAGTTAAACAACACTTACACCAGATGGTTGTGTGCGAACAGGATTCGACATTGTAATAATGACTCAAGGCTCAAGACGAGAAAGCGAAAGGTGCATCTCGATTTGCAACTTCGCTGTTTTTGTGTAGCGTCAGCTCTCCTTCAGCAACCTTCTCATAAGAACATGAGTCGGTATGTCCAGGTGGGCAGATGATGAAAACAGCATGTTCTGTATGACACCGTTGACACGTGCCTGGCAGTGAAATTCTGAGGACCGGCGTAGCTGCGTTAGCTCATAAATATTACAACCATGCTGCCTAAATGCATTGGATTTCATACATGACACATGCTAAGCTGCGGTTAGCCTAGTTGCAGCAGTGAGGATTCGGCTGTGTACTTCAGGGTATAGTGCCATGAGTTGTCATTAACAAGCATGTCTTTGGCGAAAGGCAAAGTACATAGTACCGGAGGTTGTCCAAGGTCATTAATTGATCGCCTATATATCATGAATGGCCGCATCAGTGAATCCGTGAGTCCTCGATATTGTAGCCGTGTGCACCTGAACTATAGAAGAATATAATTTTAAAAAAATCGAGTTGTTGATACAACTACGGCAGCCGCCGAATCCCGATCCTTACTAAGTTATTTCTAACCACTAAATTTCGCACTCGCTCAGCTGGTCATTGAATGAGTCATATTCTCTTCTTCGTATTCGTATCTGCGGTGAACATGAGAGCCATGTTCTAACACACTTAGCTCACTCGTCCTTTAATATCATACCCCGAAATTGTCACCCTGAAGGCTCCTTCCAAGTTCCAACACGACACACAGTAAGAATGTCTCGCATTCTTAGCTTAGTTGCAGGAGCGGAAGGTCTATAACTTCTGCAGCAATTGGGATTGTGGTAATAGCAACATGTGCTAGACCTAACAAATCTTGATCGGTACATAGGAAGGGGAATCGTGCGTGGGATGCGGAGAAAAAACATATGAGACGGGCGAACAGCTTAAGGCTGATCAAGAACGTCACGTCATACTAATAGTCAAAATCTCTTCAGTCCATTAACAAGCGTAGGTTAAATCTTTTCGCAGCTTTTCAAGCGATCCTTTGGCATCGACGAAATCCACCTATTGCGTTGAACTTCCAGACCATTGGTGCCAAAGTACCTCTCGCTCTCGAAGCACCAATCGTAGTTGGCACGCACCCAGTTTCCCACGCCATCACAGTACTCTCTAACCTGCGAGTCGATGGGTTCTCCCCATTTCGGAATGGCTGCCACGGCCTCGAAGTACTTCTTCTCGAGTTTTGTATGGCGATCCGCCACCCATAACATGGCGCCATTGACATCCGTATTAAGCTCGTGCATGACAATTGTTACTATATTGTGACCATCATCTCCGCACGCTTGTTCTACATTGTAAGACATGATGTCCTGTGATATTATGCAATTTCGATGAGTGTCATTGTAATATGCCCGTAGAAAGACACTGACATTAGCGAGAGTGATCATGTCAGTGGATGCTACCACCATATTCTCAATTGTTTGGTGCAAAATTACTTCATCCGGGATATCGAGACCCAGCTCCAAGAAGGCAAACCCAGGGCATGCTCCGATTGTCGCGCGGCGCACTTCAAAATAACTTTGAATGTCACGAATGTGATGTCTGCTTCGGTCGATGGCTTGCTGCAGGACGCCCTCTAGACATTTATTGAATGCCGTGATGAACCGCTTCTGCGATTGATCACTAGCGTTAAGTATAGTACGCTCCCAGAATCTGTCGGTGTAGTAATTAGGTCCCGACATTGGATGTTAGATAGCAAATCACCCACTGGCGAGTGACTTCTCCACCGATCCATTCTCCTTCAGGGCGTGGCTTATGAGGGTAGTGCAGAGCATCCATTATAATGTCCTTTTGTTGACGGACTTTATCTTCTTTCGAGACATCAGACACTTCATCTATAAAAAATCCAAGATTCATCAAATCGCAAGCGCTGCGAACATGTTCTGTATGGATCCAACACCTCAGTAAGTCGTTGACTGGTATAGCTTTTAGAAATCACCTTCGCGCGCGTTTGGGTAGCATAAACATGCAAGGAGACCTGGCAAAAGCGTGAGTACATCAACAGGCTCGTTATAAACCATGTCTTACCAAAATTGCAGCGATCGAAGGCTTTTTGTGCTTTGGGGCTGAAGGCTTTAAAGCTTGCAAGCCAGGCAGATGATTCGGCACGGACTTTGGAATGATGCTGATTGAGACGACGGGGAAACGGCCAGTTTGTGAGAATGTTAGGTATGAAGATTTTCTTCGGAGGTTGATCACAGGTATCGGTCGCTGATCCCCCAGCCATTATATGTCCACAGACAATCATATTGCGCTGACCCGGGGCCAACTGTGCCCCTAGTAGACGCGCGATCCAGGCAGGGATAGTGAGGATAAAAGTTGCCATGTTGAAAGAACTCTGGTTTGTGTTCATACATGCACTGACTAAACTTTATATCTGCGTTGGTACTGCTACCGTCGAGTCAGTCCCGGCAAACTCTCTGTCAATCTCTGAAATATATTCTCAGACTCAATCCGAATGTCTGATAGGAACTCGGGAACGTACGGCTAATGCTTACACACTGCCCCCACCATCATGAGACGTGCATAAGAACATCTTTACTCGGACATTACTCCGGTATCGCTATTACCGGTAATGTAGTGTCAATTGTTACATATCTTACATACACAATCGCACATTGCGCGGCGGTCATCACTAGAGGCACTTATACTAGATGTACCCGAGTGTTCGTGCGTTTTTGACAGTTTAACGTATTGCTCTCGATCCACAACACAAAACAAATATCGGATAGTCATTGATAAATAGATTGCCATCTCAATAACATGGTCCAATTTTTTATATTCAGAAAAGTTGATTGGTTGTGTTACTGCAGCATGTCCGAGCACCTTTAGTCTATGAGTCTCGCCTAGTGTTCATCCATTTGTCACACTGTGTCACAGATTGCCGACATTGCCGATTGGAAGTCCACCACACACGCAAGTTTAGGTCCAAGGCGCTCGATGATCTGCTCATCCTCAGTCTTTCTTTGCTATTGCTCGTCCATCTATCGTACGGTTAGATTACTCGTGGCACGGGGCCCCAGTCATGCTACGTGACCTGGAGGTGGCTTAGCTTCAGATCACCTACTTGTTGTAAATGAGGCCTTCAAAAGATGGAAATTAGAATCTTCGTGGGTACCCTCCTGATGCAGCCAGACTCGATCTCCGCCCGCTCCAAGTACTTTGGACTGGCAGTATTGTTCACCGGCAATGAGTGCCAAAAAATGCCTTCTGATCACGTGCGATTGTAGGCCTTTTGCCACAGCCGGTGACAAAGGCTTGTAGTCCGGGGTCTAGCAACTTAAATAACAAAGTAAAACCACGGAAATAAAAGTTTGCACCGCGGAGGTTCGCACAAAGTTCTCCCAATTGTCCTGAACGCCAGCATGTAATCGCGGAAGATGTGACAGCGATGAATGGTCCAGAGTAGTTTGATTATGTATGGTATGCAGACAACAATGATAGCGAGGATAGCAAGGAGATAGAACAGCAAAATCAGAAAGACGTCAGTAGAGACTGTACCCACGCATTTTGTTCTATGCGTGGTCTGAACTCTTCGACACATTGCCGCAGCTCAGCCAGCTGAGCCTCATGTGACATATCGTCCATCATGACGTCCTCATCGTTAGCTGAAGACTCGGAGGCCCACTTTTTCAGTAACTCCTCGATGATTTGGATGCCCTCCTCGGTGACTTCGTCTGAATGCTCGGGTTCAGATTGTTGTCCTGCTCAGCGGACATCAGCATGATAAATTCCGAACATTTTTTAACAATTACCAGTTGCGAAATCTTCTAGTTCATCAGCTTTCCGTTTTGCGAGCTAGAACACGATCAGCGGACATTATAAGAACAACTCTATGCAGAACTGACCTTGATCACATTCTCAGGGAAGTTGGCCAGTTGTGCAACGTGGATGCCGAAGCTTTGGTCCGAAACGCCTTCACCCAAAAGTTTCAGAAAAGCGGTTTGAGTAGAAAATTGAAACACACCTGGTTCGACCTTGTATAGGAGCGTGATATCCTTCTCACGCGGCGCAGAGGTATCTTCTTGGTTCACATGAGCCACGACGTGAAGGTTTTTCACGTGAGGAAGCTCTTGATCGAGGGCAGTCAACTCGTGAAAGTGAGTAGTAAACAGGCAGAAAGCGCGGATGTGGGATGCAATATGCCTTCGGGTGTTGTCAGATACGGGACCAAGAAACAAAACTTCTCATACTCAGATATAGACCATGCCAAGCCGAATCCGTCATACGTCGAGGTTCCTGAAGACAATCAAATATTGATAAAACGTGCCTCATAGTCTAGCAGAAGGCATACCACGGCCAAGCTCATCAATGATAATGAGAGAATCTTGAGTGGCAGACTGAGCAATAAACGACAGTCAGATCGAGGAAAGACTTGCATAGATGCTACTTACTCGGAGGATCGAGGCAGTTTCAAGCATCTCGGCCATGAAAGTCGAAACACCCTTCAACTGACTGTCACCTGCACCCACTCGGCAAAGCACGGAATCAAAAATCGGCAATGTTGCTTCGGAACAAGGAACAAAACATCCGGTCTGTGCCATGAGAGTAATGACTCCAACCTGTGAGATAGGTTGAGAATGGCATTCGCGAACGATGACACAAGTGATGCACCTGACGGATATAGGTGCTCTTTCCACCCATGTTTGGACCAGCTTTCGGCAGGTTAGCGCTGTTAAAACAGCACAGTAGCAGCACCTACTGATTATCTGAAATTCGCCCTCGCCTACAAGGCGGCACATGAGATGCGTCGCGGTGACAGTGCGATAAACCTTACCCTTCACCATCTCCACATCATTTGGAATGAAGCTGATGTCGTCTTGAACTTCAAGGCAAGGATGCCGCGCGTCGCGCAATATTAAACCGCCAGAACCTGATGTGCCTTGATCAACTCCTGCGTCAAACATTGTTCCTAAAACTTACCTTTCTCCAGGACTTTTGGTTTCACGTACGGCTCAGGAGCGTTTACAGAGACATGAGCGAAACTGAATGATCGTTACCACATATGCAAGCTTCAGTCGTGGAACTCACCTGAGGATAACGTCTAGGTGTGCAATGATGTGGTCGAGATTCTCCAGGACGGACGTATATGTTGCTGTACGAAGGAAAAGGTATTTGTAATTGCGAAAATAGCGGTGAAAGGAGTATCTCACATGCAATGCTGACAACTTCCTTCACTAACCCGCTCTGCGTTCGCTGATATTCATGCGTAGTCTCTTGATGGTCAGTGGAAAGTGCTTTCAGCTTCTTGGTCGTGAAGTAGACCCCGCTCTTGACAGTCCCGAGTTCGATGTATTTGTTGTTTCTCATAATGGCTTTCGCGTCCTGATGAGTATGTAAGCTCATGACATCTCACAGTACAGGAAGCGTACATTCTTCGTCAATCTGAAGCAGTATCCATAATTCTGGGAGTTCTCGAGGTGCAGCTTCTTTTCGAGATCAAGATCAAGATCCTTGCCGGTTGCACGATGTTCAGCATCGAGACCATCCCGAATCTAAGAAAACGTCAGCCCTGTTCGCCATCATTCTGATAAGCGTAATATAAACCTCCAGAAGTTTATCTGCCAGAGCCTGCAGACGCTCGTCATAGTCAGGCTTGATCGCATAATTATGACGTTCCAGTTGTTCGAGATCTAGCGTTGACTCCACCATTTCGCCATATTTGACGAGATTCTCATTGACAGTCTGGTAACGGCAAGTGTTAGAAAGGGAGCGCCGACGATGAAACCATGACATGTGCACCTGGAAAGGTTTGATATAAAATTCACCGATAAGCTCCTCGTGTTCCTCGTGTTCGTACTGAACGCCTTCGAGAGTCTCAAGCAAACCAGGCAGCTAGTTGGATAAAGTAAGGATTACTGAAGACTGGGAGCCGGAGCGAAGTACCTTGAGGACCACTTGATATACCCGCACAACATCCTCAAGAGATGCGATGGATTTCTTGAATCGTTTGCTTAGTCGGTGGAGGTCAGGCATTAGCTTCAAATAGTCATCCTGTGGAATTAAAATGAATGACGCCCTTAACAAAGGGTAATGTAGTGACCTGCAGCGTTCTCCGAGAAGATCCATCATCCACAAATGTCTCCACGAGGTCTTGCCGTTTACCTGCAAGGCCCAAGTTTTATTATGTCAAGTAGAGCAAGAAAACGGGCGTACGTATCTCGTGTAGATTTATCAAGGGTTGCTTGAGCCATGTCCCGAGAAGCCTAGTTCCTTGAGCAGTTTTGCATTTATTTAGCAGACCAAGGAGGGTTGCGTGTTTATTGATGCTTCCCTACAGGGTGACCGTTAGCAGGGAAGATATCAGTGCGAACTACATCTTGAATGACTTGCCGCACTCCCAGGGGCGTCAATCAGATTCAGTGCACGTAATGCACTGGCATCCAGGCGCATATATCGTGCTAGATCGTGTGTCCGTAACTTGTATGCCCCATGATTGGAGGGATCAGAAAGGAGAGAAAGATAGCTGATCAAGGCAGAAAGTGCAGACGGAGCTGAAGGAAGGGAGAGCTCAGCTGAATAATACTGTGAGTGTTGATTATGCAGCTTAGAGATCAAAACCTACGAATTAGAGTAGCGGATACTGAATCCGTTTCTGAGTCAATCATTAATTTTCTCATATTATCTTCGACATGTTTCGCAGTAAACTCGCCTAGAATTCTGAAATTAGACTTAAGAAGCCGTATGGGTGCTGACTTACTTGGTTTACGTTCAGTCACAACAACACCGCACCTCTCGAACACGGCTTTTAGTTTGCTCAAATCGAGGTCGCGGTCTGTTGTACCAGATACTGTTCCGGTGGGAATAATGGCTTCTTTAACTGAAAGCTGTATGACAAGAGACTACTCCAGTATAAGGAGATAGCGATGATGGTCTGCGACTAGGTAAACCCACCTCAAGATTCGAAAAAAGATCGTTGTCAATGAAATCAGCAACTCCGAACTCCCTAACACTGGTGTCCGCGAAGGCAATGCCGATTGACTTGGTCTTAGCTTTGTTTGTGACTGAAGATGATGATATTTTGACAGCTAAAACAATGGGTGCCGATGTAACATCAGAGTTGACAAAAAGAAGGTCTTCAACAGCTTGAAGATTTCCAGGTGATGCCTTTCATATGGTTAAATCGTGGCTATAAAGACAAGACATTACTTTCTCACCTCTTTTTCCAAAATGAATTTGGAAGCTTTCCTTCCTTGCCCCGGTGCGGGCACCCAAATTTCTACGCGCAGCTGTTTAGATGTAAGGGCATCCCGCAAAAACGAGTGAGCGAGGGTATGGCTGAGCGTGACGCTCGGAAGACCACCAGCCTTGCCTCCAGCACCTAGATATTTGAGGACGGAGTTGGTACGAAAGACGTGTGTTGCGACATAGTGCGCGTCCTGTCCGTGAACAGAGTAGTAGTCTGTGCGATCGAATAGACGAATCGTGCCAGTCTCAGGAGATTTCTTTGGGAGTTTGGAAAAGAATGCAACGAAACCGGGGTCAGAGGCTGGTTTCAGGTCAGAGTTAAAATTCTATCTGCCGATGAACAGTCGAAGACTCACTCAATTCATGCTCTGCATCTTTTTCCTTCCCATACATGAGAGCCATGCTACTAATTTTTGACCTGGTAATAGAAGGAAGAAGCAAAAGACGCGTCGCGTCACGCGTACTAAGCTAGCAATTGCTCCCGATTACCGATAGGCTCCGCTCATTGCTCAAGCGCTCAGACCCGCCTCAGCGAGTTTGCTGCCTATGTCGTCACGTACGAGACTCCAATCAATTCAGCGTTGTCCAACTTCAGTCCCAATAACGTCATACCGCGCCAGTATAGGTATTTGAGGAATTCTCATGTCAAGTCAACTAGGTTATGATTACACGTATTTGCTTCCGCTCATCAGCCGAGGACTCATCGACATCGCTGGGCATTGCACGGCCGCAGATTTCCCTCACAAATCCCCACTGTCCTACAGCTCTGATTTCTGCTTCTTTTGTGCGTATTTAACTTTGTCTCACAAGCGTATACTAACAAGCAAGACGACTTAATAGGAAGATGCTGCAAAACCGGACGGAGGGACACAACTCAAATGTGTCGCTTCTGAGTTAGTTGTTGTCGCTCAGCTTCTTTCATCCGTTGTGTCCTTCACATCACTCGTGGACAATGATGCAACGGTGCAGGGAGCATTCGATGCATTGAACCAGAGTCGGTGGGTTCACCTGGCCTGTCACGGAATACCAAATCCAAAGGACCCATTTGAATCTTCGTATTCTTATCGGCACCCTGGGTGATAGGTCGAGCAAGCTATTCATGTCGCTGCGGCGATGCAATTTTCCGGATTTCAAAGCGTGATCGGTTCCGTGTGGAGTGTTGATGACGACTGCGTTTTATGAATATCTGATTGATGATTCGGGGAGATTGGACTGCACGCGCGCTGCATTAGCGTTGCACAAGGCTATGAAATCGTTGCGCAAGAAGATTCCGCTGGAACAGCAGATTGTTTTTGTTCATACAGGTGTCTAGTCAAGGTACTATCCCTCGGTGTCGTCCTGCGGTGCCTTACTTGAAGTCAACACCCTCAGCTTAACATCATCTACTTGAGACACGCTTATCCCGTATTCACATCTCCTTATGTTAATTTCACTTTCACTCATGAATTGATGATAGAGCTTGAATGTGAGATGTGACTTACAGGATATAATGAATTTTATGTGTGAACTGCAGTGCCTTGTTCACTAAAGCTTCGTGACTCTCGAGATATACTATGTACACGCCGACATATGTCAAATCAGTTTGTGAAAACGCAGCTTGGGCGGAAAATCCGAAATTCCGGGCCAAGGCCGGTCAGGCCGCAACTAGTGCGCCCGGAGCACTCCAGGTCTTCACTGTCGTCCCTTGTACTAGTATTCATGTTACTCCCCGCCACCACAGTCGTGAGTTCTCACTCATGAATCTGAGCACAGACCATGTAGAACTTGGCCAACCGGCTGCCCATCCCTATGCACCGACGGAAGATCTCGTGCGCACAGGACAAGCAACCGATCTAAACGCAAAGTCCCGATCGCGATTGCTACCAATGACACCCAAGTCATTTCGCAAGTTACACGTACGACAGTAGTTTCAGCTGATCGGTCGATCGCGATAGAGTCGGTCCTTCTGACTCGGATTATGATAACCCGTACAAAACCGAAGAAACAGACGCTGGGTGTTCTCGATAGCGTTCAGCTATGAAAATTGTCAGTCTCTCCACCATTGCAAGTGAGCTCTTGCCCAACCAGGTCTAGTAAGGTCATGACATCTATCCTACTATGACGATACTTCAATTTAAAAAAAGGTCGCGGACCAGCAAAGCGGGGGTGACGAACAATGAAAAAGCTCAGATAAAGCTGGGGCTCAGAGTCAGGATTCGGCCGATGCAATCTGGGCGCAAGTCGTCTGCTCCATGGTCCGATGACACAGGATATATGTTCTTCTAGACTCTGTCGAAGGCGCTGATTTGAATGATGGTAGTTTCTAGTACTCTGGGTCATACCTTGTCCCTTAAGGATAAATATACGCTCATAGCCTTGGTGCATCCAGTGCCAAGCATGCGGCCATGTGTTTGGATACCGCCCTATGCCTCCAGAAGGATCCAGCAAGATGCTTGCCTCGGCGGTGTGGCTGGATGTTTAAACTCCGACACGTCCCATTATATAATGGCCCCGTTATCTAGGCGTTTCCTCACAGTCGCTCTCCTTACAAACCACTCCTCTACACTCCCATACAGTCTATAGTTCATATCCTTCGCGTGAGTTTTTGATCATTCTAATCTCCAGTGCAGACGGGGCTGATATTGAGCCACAGAATGCAGATTTTTGTGAAGACACTCACCGGCAAGACCATCACTCTTGAGGTCGAGTCCTCTGATACCATCGATAACGTCAAGGCCAAGATCCAAGACAAGGAGGGGTATGCGTGCATCCAAGTCAACGCCATTTATAGCTGATGGTTATGTTTGCAGTATTCCACCTGACCAGCAGCGTCTCATTTTTGCTGGCAAGCAGCTTGAGGATGGTCGCACACTATCCGACTACAATATCCAGAAAGAATCTACCCTTCACTTGGTCCTGCGTCTCCGTGGAGGCATGCAGATCTTCGTCAAGACCCTCACGGGCAAGACGATTACGTTGGAGGTGGAATCTTCTGACACCATTGACAACGTGAAGGCGAAGATCCAGGATAAGGAGGGCATCCCCCCTGATCAACAACGTCTCATTTTCGCTGGCAAGCAGCTCGAAGACGGACGTACTCTTTCCGACTACAATATCCAGAAGGAGTCCACCCTTCACCTCGTTCTCCGTCTACGTGGCGGTATGCAGATATTTGTCAAGACCCTCACAGGCAAGACGATCACGTTGGAGGTGGAGTCTTCTGACACCATTGACAACGTGAAGGCCAAGATCCAAGACAAGGAGGGCATCCCTCCCGATCAGCAGCGTCTCATTTTCGCAGGCAAGCAGCTCGAAGACGGCCGTACCCTTTCCGACTACAACATTCAGAAGGAGTCTACCCTCCATCTCGTTCTCCGTCTTCGTGGCGGTATGCAAATCTTCGTCAAGACCCTCACGGGTAAGACGATCACGTTGGAGGTGGAGTCGTCAGACACCATCGATAATGTCAAGGCGAAGATTCAGGACAAGGAGGGTATCCCACCCGACCAGCAGCGTCTGATCTTTGCTGGGAAGCAGCTGGAAGACGGCCGCACGCTGTCGGATTACAACATCCAGAAGGAGAGTACCCTTCACCTTGTGCTCCGTCTTCGTGGTGGGCTGTAGTACCGAGTGTTCTCCCATACCTATCGTTTACTTATCATTACCGTGGTATCCCGTTGTAGTATTACCCCATCCTATCGCACTGTAATGTGAACTGATGCATTGTTCCTCGTTCCAAATGAATTTGTTCAGCAACGATGCGTGATATCTTAAGGGTACATATCGACTGAGCTAGTCAGACGAACCAAGCTAGTCAGTATCACAGGCAGACAATCAAATCAATTGAATCTCAATTGTCCTAATCCCGCACCGGATGCCATCGAAATGTTAGAGATCATGAAGCTGCACCGTTATCACCTCTACCCTCTCTGTCCTTCACTCTGTCCTTCCCCCGCTCCCTACCCTCGTCTTTCTCCTTCTTTCCCTTTCCACTCTTCTCCTTGTTCGCTCTAAAGCACATAAATTCAATTCCAGTCGCACGCCGACTCTCTGCCAGCGTCCTCTTCACACTATCCAGATTCCCCTGCAAATTCTCATCTCCCGGCCGTCGTGCATACGCCTGCGAAATCTTATTATACAACTCAGAAAGCGTCTTCGCGGCTGATGGAGACACGTAGCGAGCAAGCGTTTGGTGCATGAACTCGATCTCTAGCGTAGCCTGTAGATATCGTCTTATTGATAGTATAATATGCGAGGAAGGAGGATGTGACTTACACGAAGCATACCGCCCATACCGAACCGCTTGACTTGTTTGAACGAAAGCAATGCATCTTGAGCGACGTTCTCTATAAGCGCATACATCCCGCGTTCGAGCAGATTCTCTGCTACGCGGCTGATTTGCGCATGAATCTCGACGAGGCCCATTAAGGCCTTGTACATATATGGTCGTATTTCTTAGAGTGGATGTCAGTGTAGGTAGCAAGAAGTGGAGTGGAAAAGCTTACCCGTAGGTTGCGGCGTCTCGTACCAATCCATGTCTTTGTCGAGAATGCCCTCTTGCAAGATGACTGCGACAGCGGCAGCCTTGGGCTTGACATATCCATCGAAAAGCGTCTTGTCAAGCGCAGTCACTGTGCTTATCAGTGTCTACGTCATAACGTGAGCACGCCATGCAACGCAAGTAGGAGAATAAGAAATACCTGTCTATCATCCTCAACTGATATGCTGAGCGCATTCTCCAGCTGAGATAACATACTGGGTATCAACGATCCTGATAAATGTGAGAAATTAGATATCACGAGGAGCAGCCTCGTATTCTTAATGCATAACTATATCAGGGGCCAGAATTGTGGAGCACACAAAACTACGCACCGAGTCGCGCAGATCAACCAGCTCTTGCTTCCCTTCTTGTTCAGTTGCTCCCGTTGCCACGATGCTGCCCACACCTGGTGGTGTTTCCTCCGTGACAAGTACTACAAACCCATCTAGAACCGCATATATTGCGTCCAAAAATGCCTTCGTAATCTTCGATATGAATGCTGGTGGCACGATGTTCTGTTGTGTTACCCGCAATACGCCCGATCCACCGTCTGTCGAGATACCACCTGCGATTTTGAATGCTGAGGTTGCAATGTGGCGCATGAACGATTCGAGATGAGCAAGGTAGAGTGTTGTGGAAGGAGCGGAAGGATCGGGAGTAAATGATTCCAGAACATACATGTAGTTTGCGTCTGAGATAGTTAGTCCATAGATGTACGAGGAATAGTAGAACACTTGTAGTAACACATACCTCGCAACCAAGATCTCACTAGGACATCCTCAAAACGCCACCGCACGCTCTCTATTAGCCCTTTCACCAAACCGCCTTCTCCAAGTTCCAATGCACTAATCTCTGTGACGCAATCTTGTACCTCGTTAAGAATCTTGGTCAGCCAGTGAGCTGTCGTTAGCGAGTTCGAATGAGACGGAAGATGCTCAGGAGAATTGGTAGTAGAGGAGTTTGATAGGATTTCAGAAAGAATAAAAAACTCGGAGAGAAAATTGATATAGAGCTTGATGATATCGAGTGCCATTTGCCTGCATTGAGAGGCACTGCGCCTTGATGACGATGGCTAGGGGAAAGAGTAAACGTCGCACAAGTGACATAACAGCACAAATGACACAAACTCGTTTGAATTTCCCCTCCAAGAAGCTCCTTGCGATTTTACAGAAGTTGGGCAACGAAGAGACCATAATCTCGGAGACATTTTTCACCATATCCCAGATAGCCTGCCATACTTCATGACCACCTGCTTGTGCTAAGTGCGACAAGAATGAATAATAGCTTGACATGAGCAATATGATAGCGCACTGATTACGGCTTCGGAAGCTTTGCTCTCCAGCGCTACAATGCACACCTGGAGTTGTGCACCAAGGATCTGTCTGAGCGCATTCGGAGACGACAGTTCAGGTGTCGTGCGAGACTTCGTGGCTGTGATGCATGTCAGTATAAAAAGTATTCAATAACACGAGAGGAACACGCCATCGATGTTTGAGACACCAGCCTTGTAGGCAGCACTCATCCGGTCCATGATGCGCTTGTGCTGGCTATCGAAGTAGGTCCATATCGGGTCTTCAGGCACATTTAGTTCCAGGAGAATCCTAGACAGTCTGGTTAACGAGACATACAACAATAACAAGTACACGTACTCAATGCCTCTCTCCATTTCCTCGACGCTCCTCCCTTGTTCTTGTAACCGTGCTAAAAGTAGCGCCTTCATCTCTCCCATCACCTTTTCAACGTTTGCCCACACCTTGTCTAATATCCTCTTCTGTTGTGCCGTAGAGCCTGCGTTGGCACCTGCCTCGACGGGGAGAAGTTGTCCAGGGCGAGAGTCTAAGAGAAACTTCCCCTTGTTGTACTGACGCAATGCAGCTTCATACCTTCCAGCCTCAATGGATTCCACGAGAAATCCCGGGAGACTGAAAAAGAACTTGGAACGATCAAAAACGCCGAGCGTAGTGCGCAACTTTTGGGCTTTGGCACCGTTCTCGAGGATGGGGAGGAAGACTTGATTGGCCTTCACAGCTGAACCTAGGTTGGAGCGCATCAAAAATAGGGTTGGAAGGAATGAACTGAGGACAAACGTTTTAAGTAGTCTACAAGTGGTTTGCTAGCAAATTCCGCCTTGCCACTCAGTAATCCCTCTCGCATTTCTGCATATAACGCTAAGAACATGCGCCAGTTAGTATGGAGCACCCGCAGACAAACGACACACGACGCACCATCAGTAGAAGCCTTGACAGCAACGAACCGATCAAAGTTATCTTCTACGAGGACACGGACAGCTTCTGAACGGGCATCAATGGATGATTGGAGGTGGTTAATGCCTGCTGCAAGATCTTGGTATGTTGCGTTTGGGTGTACAGCAGATAGAAAGGCTTTGGGATCAAATGATTTAGAAGAGATGAGCACAGACATCTCTGGAAGCGTATGAACGACCGAAATCCCAGCTAAAATCAGACACAATCACGCACTCGATTCCGCATCTAAACTCGTCAGGCTGCGAATATTATCAGCACCGAATGAGAGGGTCAAATGATGACACATACTCAATGACGCCGCCAAGGCCCAGGGGGTCACCGTCTCCATCGGCGTTGGATTGGGAGGTGAGGAGGTCAGAAAGAGGATCTTCGAGGTCGTGATCTATCTCTTCCCATTTCCTATGCAACGGTTATTCGTACATTTAGACAGTGAATTAGCCACGTACGTCGGGTTTTGTGAGGATAACTTGTAGGCCTTGAGGATGGAAGCTTCGTCGGTCGTAAAGTTAATCTTACCCATCAGGACAAGTCAGAATAGAGAAGCAGAATCCTTTATTTCAGCAGCTCCACTGCGGATGGTACACAGGCACTACTAATACTGGGCCGGCTTGTAGCACTCGCTCTGTTGTACTAGCTAGGCGGGCGGCCAGTGAGTAAGTCAAACTAGACCATGATACTGTGTTGCACGTGACTCAAGTAGCAGTGACTGCAGCACTGGTCCGAGCAAAGGCCCTTCTTCCAAACACCACAGAGCTAAGTTACTGGTTGCAGTGAGTCTACTCATGACCTCCCTGTCACTCAAGGAGTCCCTGTTGCAGAAACTGTTTAGGTTCATGAAACAACTCGAACTCTTGAAGTTGTCGACGATCGTTCTGTACCGCATTTACCGACATGTCATCACATTCCTCCGTCGGCTACTGCATGGGATGTCGCACAATCATGATAACCATATACAAGGACAAAGACTCAGTGTCGATAAAATAATGAGAGCTACTCAGCCTGCTGTTCAGGATACACGGAACCAGATCTCAGTGACAACACTTGCTGTACGCCCTCCCGAAAGGGAGGATGCGCCCACCTTTCACCATTGTGTTGGGAGTTCTTTGTCATTTCCATTACCTCAGGTGCCAATGGATCATCAACCTCATTCTGTTCAGACAAGTCCAGCAGTACCTAATGTCCGTCGACCAGGGGCAATTGCTCTTCAAGCAATGATTGCATCACAAATTGGTAGGTATAAAAGGAATATCGTTCAGTATGTCTGTTTTTGATTTGGGATTCTTGGATGTCTTTCTAACCCTACGGTAGAAGTAAAGATTTCCGTGTGTTCGAGATTAACCCAGGGCCGGATAATTTCACGGAGTGAGGAAAACTGCAGTTGTATAATGATATTAATCATCAGATTTCTGCAGATCATCAACGCAGGTCGCCAACTGGTTGCAGCTCACTCACCCTGAAGGCGCCCGCTTCTTCTTTAACCCGAAGCAGGTACGTAAGAATCACCAAAAGGCTCAGACCACTCACCATGCGACACCACACAGAGAGTCTTCACCGATCAGAATATTTTAGAGAATAACCTTGCACTCGAAATCCTTGCTGCAGCAGAGCAAGCGAATCAAATGGCAGCAGAGAATGGCAGGGTTTGCGCCAACATGGAACTTGCTATCGAAAAGTTTCCCGAAGGCGAGTTTGGGTACTATTTTGTAGATCATGATGCACGGATTATCTTCTGGCCTGAGATTGTCAAATCTAGGGAACTTATGATCCATGTACGAGGTGTCTCTGACAAAAGTCACATCAGTGAGCATGTGATTAACACATCGAGATGATATAGTGATCTGAGATGTTTAAACCCTAGGATATGCATTAGAGGCGCAATACTGGTACGTTCAGCGACGTATGGTGAGTAATTAACTACGCTCTGTTGAAAAAATAGTGATTAAACTAATCCAAGATCATATCACTCAACTCATCTGCGCTTATGCTACAGGAAGCATTGCACCTTGTTTCCAAACATGCGTGCTCTCCCCAGGCAGGCAGTTGATTGTTTGCGAGATATCATTGTTTATGCTCACTCCGGTATGGTACTCTATGTGACCTTTTGGCTACGTAATGACTTTTCTGGCAGAATCAATCACGTCTCAAACATCCCTTTCTCCCTTCGACTTGGATGAGCTCTCAAACATACTCAGTGATGTTGATCAGGTGAAAGGTCAGCTTCTCGGTAGTATTGTCTTTGGGATCCGTTCTCATCAGAAGCAGATAACATCGAAAAGGTCAACAAACACTCTGTCTGTATTGTCGGTATGATATTCAACTCTAGTCTTCATCGATATTTATTTATTTGTCTCAACCAACAGCCCGATACATGCACATGTTCTGTGGGTAGCTTATACCTACATTCTTCTTCCAAATAACACCACGTTGAAATAGTCCAGGCGAAATTTGTCAATTTTTGTGGGCAGCTTGGTGCCCGTCTTGACGCTGACCGATCGTTATATGAAAGTAATATCAAGAAGCCAAAGCCCCTCTTCATTCGTATTTTGAATATTGTCCTGTTCAACTCTCCGAGCATCCACAGCGAATCCCTTCATAATGTTTGGGTAGACAATACAGTGGTCAAACCTAGGTGGAAGAAGTTCATCAGTCAATTAAATAGCGAGTGGAACAGCTTCACTATATTCGTAAGTATGTCGATGTTCTTTAAATTTACAGATGCTCACGATGGCAGTCGACTGTGATGCTCGCTGTGGATGTCAGTTTCTTGGCAGTTCCTGGGGTAGACAATTCCTCTATTCAGTCAAAGCCAGCAGTAACGATTGTCGTTTACCTGTCCACGCTTTGTGCAATGGGCTCGCTCGTGATATCTCTTATCCTAGCGGGTCAGATTAGCGACAATAGACGGAACTCGGCTGGCAGTGTGGTGCGTCGCTAGCTGTGGTCCCGATGCTCCATCTCATGGCTCACACTGACATAGGCAGAATTCATTTCCTCTATGTCCCAATCACTCCTTGGCATCGAGAGTCTCGCCTTGATGCTCAGCCTGCCATTTGCTCTTCTTATCTGGGGGTAAGTTATCCAAATTTTGCGACGTGCGCACTATTAACGAGGAATGTCGCAGAATGATTTTCTTTGCAATCGGACTCTCAATCCTCATCTTCTATACTACTGATATCGTTGCATTGATTGTTGTTATTCCCATATGGGCAGTTGTTCTCCTCCTCTCGACATGGCCGGTCTTGGCAGCTAATAACCTTCATGTCTCGGATGTTGTTATGCGAGTTGTGAAGTCCTGCAAAGACATAAGGCAATGCATGGTCATTGTACAAAGGCGATGATTGAGATTCCTTGATGCGGCCTGTGGATGTGAGGTTTTCTTTTCTCTTGACTTCATACGTAACTCAATGGGCATTTACTTGTACTACTTAGTCCCTACTAGTCCTTGTACTCGTAGTCGTCTCCTGCCGTGTCATATTTACAGCTTAAATCTAGTCGTTCTCAAATACTAGGCTGTGACCTGCTTGCGATGACAGTGCTTGTCGCGCAGTCCCATTAGGTATTCCACCCGGATGTAGCCGACAATAACTTACGCGCCATCAATAACATCACAAACCAGCACATTAGTTGTCTGTGCAGTGTGCACTTAGTACCTTCCACTATCCCTTCCAAAATATCGCTCTACAACTCTCTCGCCCATCAGCAGGCAAGATATAGCTTTTGCATTCGGTCCCTTTTACCTCCGTCGTCATGCGAGAAGGATCCATTCGCGTGTTCATTTACTGGTTAAGGGTCATTATCAAAACGACTGCATTTCGATCGTACAGGAGTCTCTGCTCTATTCTCCTGCGACTGATCCAATACTGTGAATCTGTTGTGAATGGAAAGGAAGGACATTTTCGTGAGCGGCCCAGTTTCGCTTTGAGCTCTCAGCCAGTGGCCAACCAACTCGAGTCGACGCCTTCTGTGAGCCTTGCAATGCCATTACTTGAGGCACCTCTTCAAACACAAGAGTCCCAACCTGAAACGAACGTTCATATGCCAATGCCAGAGCCTTACCAAGGGACAAATATCAACGTCCCAGCTCATGATACACAGTCTCCCCGGAGCTCTGCTGTGCCGTTCACACCAATCTCTATGCCTGAACCCAGCATCCCCGTGGCTGTCGTCATGTCATCGCCTCCTACGACGCCAGGGCAGGCCGTTGATATATATCTAACTCCCATTGTACCCGAACCACAGGTCAAACGATACGAAAGGCATGTTCCCATGTACGCAAATTATACTTTCTCAAGTGAGTTGCTGTTTTAATCCATACCCACAGAAATAGTGAATATAAACCATTCGAGGTTAAGAAAGGCCCTTTGGACTGTTCAGAGTAAGCATGTTGGAGAGAGAGCCAGCGACGAAATTAAAATGCTCCCGCAGGGAGCTTGCTGCAGTAGAAGGATGGGAACCGCTCACGCACCCGGAAGGGGCTTTGTTCTTCTATCAACCATATAAAGTGTGTCTACCCCTTTGTTCCTAGTACATGACTTTACTCAAGTCTGACACCAGAGAGTTTTCACTGATGCCGATGTTCGAGATTCTAAAATTGCTTTCAAAATAAACAAAGCTGTTGAGATGGCGTACGAAGGGGCGCGGGAGGCAAACATCTCTTTGGATTCTTCCGTCGAGCTCGCATTGGAGCTCATTGTAAAGGAGGACAAGGAATATTTGGGCTACTACGTTGCCGACCATAAAAGACGTGTCGTTTTCTGGTTCGAAGACTACAAATCCTTTGAACTTGTGAATAACGTTCGAGGTGTAGAGCGCAAAAGCCATGTCAGTGAGTTCTTTTCACGGAAAACTTTCGTTTTAAGTTCCTGTAATTGTATCGATCCCAGAGTATGCATTGGATTCACAATATTGGTCCGTATGCTCTCCAGCTGTATGTATGTTTCCTCCCTCAACAAAAGTATGTGCGCTCACGCTTTGTTACAGCATTTTTTTTTTACCTCCCATAATTTACATACGTGACGCTGGCAGGAGACACATCGAGCTATTTCCAAACAAACGCGTCCTTCCAGAAGACATTGTCGTGACACTCAAAGAAATTGTCATGCATGCTCATGCAGGTAAGTATAGATTAATAAGCGTTTCACATTGTACACGACTGACTTTCGATAGAAAACATCACTTCTGAAACGTGCCTGGCACCTTTTGCCCCGAATGAGGTTGCAAGCATGCTTGGCCTTGTGGATCATCTCAAAGGTAAATCATTCTTTGATGCAGTAGGGTTGTTGTTGATCATCATTTCAGACAGCACTAACCAGGAACGGGAACATTCCGTGTGGATCGCTGGTAAGTTTGATCATGGAATGTTGGCTGATTGCTCTTGACACGTTTGCTGATTTCAGCTCGATTCATGAGGCTTTTTTGTGAGTTTCAGCTAGTCGTCCGCGATCTCCGTTTCCTGATTACTTTGCTAGCCAACGCAAAGTTCGTGAATTTCTGTGGACAACCAGGTGCCCGACTTGACGTAGATCAATCGTTATATGGAGAACATGACATCCGCTCAAAAAATATCGTTCTTCGTATCATGAATGTTATTCTGTTTGGATCCCCAGTTGCTCACAGCAAGGCAATTCACAGGATATGGGTCGATGAAACCATGGTTCAGCCACGATGGAATGATTTTATCGATAGGCTTACCACCGAATGGAATGGATATACAATATTTGTGAGTTGCGCTTTAGTTTCATATTGTCGTGTAATAAATGACCGTCTCAGTCTACTGTGATGCTCGCTGTTGATATTAGCCTTCTCGCGGTCCCAGCTGTCGCGACTCAAACAGCTGCGATCGTTTTAGCATATCTGTCTTCCCTGTGCGCTTTAGGCTCCTTAATGGTATCGCTAATCTTGGCTGGACAAGTTAATGACAGCCGGCGAGGCTCTGCTGCAGACGTGGTAAGTTTCTTTTGATCGTATTACCTACATTATTTATGTCCACAGGCCTCTTTCATGGTAGGAATATCAGAGTCTATGTTCGGGCTGGAAAGTCTCGCCCTGATGCTCAGCCTGCCGTTCGCACTTCTGATATGGGGGTCAGTTTCCGGGTTACATTCCGCGCATTAATGGTTTATCATTTTACAGAATGACGTTCTTTGCTGGAGCATTGTCCACCCTGATCTTCCGTACTTCTGGCGTTGTCGCCGTCTCAATTACATCTCCAATTTTGATCGCCGTATTCGTCCTAGCGACGTGGCCCATGCTTGCCGCCAATAATATTCACATTTCTCACCTGAGGTTTTGGATCATAGAACGTGTTTTACCTCAGGCTGCGGGGCCCATCGTCATCTCTCATGCCTAATCTGTGTTGTCTGATTGTGGTGCGACGTGCATACAATTGGTACATGGTGTTTTGCAAGTTGATTTATATCGTACCCGTTTCCTCCTGAATAGTCCCAGAGGTTGTTGGCGCACGAATCGTGCACGTGACGACTGTGACGCGGTAGAATGCCAACGGTCGTTATATATATTGGTTGATGTTTGTTTCTTCTCTCCTCAGTCTGTTACACGCACGACTGAGGGTATGTCTCCATTTATCGTTATATCTTCTCTCGCTAATAATCTACCTACGATAGATCTAACTCTGTCTAGGTATATATCAATATCAGTCTGTTACACGCATGACTGAGGATCTAACTCTGTCTAGTCTTCATAGAGGTTACCCTAGATCTGGGATTGACATTCCTAGGGCAAGGCTTGCCTAGGTCTCTCTGTTCTGCATAATTCACAAAAACATACAATGATACTAGAAATATTGCGTCGACGTAGAAGTTGTCTGTAGTGTAGCGGCGTGACAAATACAATTTGTAATATGTAATGCTTGAGAGGAATTATCAGTCCTCACCACGCTTACAATCTTGGGCCATTGTAGGCGCAGCGATGAGCAACTGGATCATATGCACAGTCTCACAGGTACTTGAAGGTTGGATCTTAACTCTAGCCGTAGCCCCTCTCGCCCCAACAAAAACAACAAAAACGCACACATCGTCGCCTCGTCCTTCTCCATGCCCACACTCCCAGACACATCCTCAGCCCTCAGGTCTGAAACCAACTCATCATCAATGCATATCCACTTTCGCGTGGCTTGGTGGGTGGAGTTGACATGTCAATGCTGGGGTGGAGGACGACGAGGGTGTAGTGTCCACCCGAGGCTGAGGCCATGGTGGACCGTGGTAGAGCACTGTGAGTTGGTGTGGTTATTTTAGTGATTAAAAGAGACGAGGACAGACGCACCTCCGAACAACCGATACCTCGTACTATTCACCTTCCTCCCATGTTGATCCCAACAGGAGCGAGCGGCTAGATAACAGGTGTCAAGACCATTTTGACGCTCAAAGCTATTCTGGCGCCAATCCAAGATGTGTGCCATGTCGTTCTTGGATTGTACGTTCATCCCATTCCTCTCGTTTTTCTCGCTGCGTACTGGTTTGAAACAAAGTCATCTAGTTTTTGTGCTCGGTTCTCTTCGCTTCCATCATGTTCATCTTCTGGCTGAGACACATTGTCAAGACAGCCGCGCTTCGCTCGTACAGTCTACTCTCTGTCATCCTGCGACTGATCCGACACTGTCGTTCCATCGTGAATTGGAAAGAGAAATATTTTTGTGAACGGCCTGGACTCGGAGGTTTAGCATTGAGCTCTCAGCCAGGGACCAACCAACCCAACTCCGAACCGGCTCCTCCTGTGAGCCTCGCAGTGCCGTTGCTCGAGGCACCTCTACAGAGTCTACATAGCCAAGGGTCCCAATTTCAAATAGACATCCATCAGATTCCAACTCCAGGACTTCTCGGAGGGTCAAATGACGCAGGTTTAAATACAGACTTTTCCCCGAACTCTTCTGCGCCATTGAGACCAAGCTCTGCGTTCGAACACAACATCCACGGGCCCGAAGTGGGTATCACCACACCACCGCTTGTGGCAGCGCCAGGCCAAACCTGTGACATCACCCTTACTCCCATTACACCCCGACAGGTCAACCGATACAAGAGGAATGTGCCAGTGTACGCAAATCGTATTTCTGACAAGCGAACTGGCAAAGTCCTGATTCATACTTATAGTAAAGATGAATACAATGCATTCTTGGTTGAGAAAGGTCCTTTGGATTGTTCAAAGTAAGCATACCAATGAGAGAATCAGCGATAAGATTGAAATCGACTTGCAGGGAGCTTGCTTCAGTAGCGGGATGGGAGCCGCTCACGCAACCAGAGGGGGCTTTGATATTCTATCAGCCATATAAAGTATGTCGATCATCTGCTACTAGTACATGTATTTACGCAAATTACACACCAGAGAGTTTTCACTGATGTTGATGTTCGAGATCCCGAAACTATAGTCAAACTCGACAAAGCTGTTGAGAAGGCGTACCAAGGAGCGCGTAATGCGAACATCCCCTTGGATCCGTTCGTCGAGCTAGGGTTAGAGCTCATGGTAGAAGACGGCGAAGAAATGTGGGGTTACTACTTTGTTGACCACGAAAGACGTGTCATTTTCTGGTTCGAAGACCACATATCCCAATCTCTCATGAGTTATGTCCGAGGCGTAGAGAGAAAAAGTCATATTAGTAGGTTCTTTCTGTGGAATACTTTCCATTTAAGCTCCTGTAATCATATCGCTCCCAGAGTATGCACTAGAAGCACAGTACTGGTTCGTATAATCTCAGGTACGCACATTCCCTCACTTTAACCGAATTCAGTAAACTCACTTTATAACAGCTCTTCTATGTTTCGCATGATTCATGGCGTTGGTAGGACACACATTGCGTTATTTCCAAACAAACGCTTCCTTCCAGAAGATATTGTGGTGGAACTCAAAGAACTTGTGATGTATGCTCAGGCAGGTAAGCAAAGGCTAATAAGCGTCTTATGCCCTACAGGATTGACTCGTGATAGATACTATCACTTCTCCAACTTCCCTAGTACGTTTTACTTTGGACCAGATCGCAAGCATTCTCAGCCTCGTCGATCTTCTCACAAGTGAGCTGATCCCTGTTGTGGGGTCATCATTGATTGTCTTTTCAGATAGTGCTAACAAGAAGCGCGAGCATTCCGTGTGGATTGCCGGTAAGTTCAATCATGGACAATCGGTTGATTGTTTCTGATATGTTTACCGATCTCAGCTCGATTTATGCAAGATTTCTGTGAGCTCTAGCTAGTGGTTCGCTATGCACATTTCCTGATTACTTTACTAGGTTACACAAAGTTTGTAAATTTCTGTGGACAACCAGGCGCCCGACTTGACGTAGACAAGTCGTTATACGGAGAGGAATCTAACACCACCTCGAAAACTACGCTGTTTCGTGCGATGAATGTTATTTTCTTTGGATCTCCTGATGCCCAGAGCAGGGCCTTCCACAAGATATTGGTCGATGGAAACATCGTTGATGCGCGGTGGAAGCAGTACATAGACAAGTTGAATAGCGACTGGAATGGATATACGATATTTGTGAGTTGTACTTCTGCTTCATATTGTTATATAGTCAATGACTATCTCAGTCTACTGTGATGCTTGCTGTTGATGTCAGCTTTCTCGCAGTCCCATCTGTTCAGACTCAAACGCCTGTCATCCTTCTATCTTACATATCTACCCTCTGCGCCATGGGCTCGTTAGTAGTTACACTATTATTGGTTGGACAAGTCAACAAGAGCCTACGAGGCCCCAATACAGACGCGGTATGTTCATCTTTCCTTGTTTATCGGATAATTTTCACGTCCGCAGGCTTCTTTCCTAGTAGGAATGGCGGGTTCTGTGCTTGGCTTAGAAAGCTTTCCCCTTATGCTCAGTCTGCCACTCGGACTTCTGATATGGGGGTAGGTTTTCTGTTCATGTTCCATGTCAGCAGCTCATTGTTCGACAGAATAGTATTATTTGCCGCAGCATTGTCTGTTGTAATTTTCCGCACTTCTGGCATTGCCATCATCTCGGTCGCATATCCAATATGGATTGCCATAGTCATTCTAGCGACGTGGCCTGTACTGGCTGCAAATCGTATTCATATTGGGTCCCTCCTGCGGCACTGGTTTTACATGTGGTGCTGGAACACGATCCGACTCGTTGGTTACCTGTGGTACCGGCTTCACATGTTGTATTGGATTACAGGACAACACACTTCTCGCCTGTGGAACAGGATCATAGAACAAGTGTCACCTACGGTCACTGCTCCCTCTCATGTCTAATCTGTGTTATCTATGATTGCGAGGGATTTTCTATAGCGCGCGAACTTTATATCATTTTGGTCGACTTGTGCCGTTTCCCTTTCCTTTCGAATATTTATACACAGGATGTAAATATCAGCTTTGTGATTATTGGTTCTCTTCTTGAAGCGTGTTGCCGGTCTCGTGGCGGTACTAAGAATCACGACTGAAGCTGTGTAAAGCTAAAATCACGAGGCTCATTTCGGGTCGCGGGAGGTATGTGTCTGGCCGGGAGAGCTATGCTTTATGTTATTAAACCACGGTGTTTACTTTGCCGAGGACCGCATGATCTGCAGATCACCCTCGAGTGTTGATAAACATGAACGCGCCATGTCATTGATTCCTTGTCATGCATCACGGCTCACGCGGAACCCATGCATGGTTCTGTTATAAAATTCAGAGTATGTTATGGTCAATTTTGACGAATCAAGACTGGTGCAGGTGATTGCAGGCTGGCAGTGCTATAGTAGTAGAACGTCGATCCAGCCATCGAGGCACATACTCACGCGCCCATGCTTATGACATGTTCATGACATACTAGATCGACATAGTGACGGTGGAGTTTGGGTGGGGTATTATAGGCCCATCACTGGGCTGTGTGGGACCAAATCCAATGGACCTAGATCTCAAGTTCATGTGAATCAAAATATTACTGGACTCGGAGGTGACGTGTTTTTCATTGAAAGAAAAGCTTGCCACGACAGCGTTGAGAACGGACATGGGCGATCACAATTGGCGACTTGCTCAGGCTGGGGATACATAACGTTCCCAGCGGCTGTGCGATTCTGGGGACCTTCAGAATGACTGGCAATATGGGTGATCAGGTGAAACATTGAACTCGTTGGATGGTCCATCGTTACATAATCAATTGCGTGAGCCGGATATAAATATGCTGTGGCACGTCTGATTGGTCAAGTCGATACCAGCAGTGGTACGATTTAATTTTTTTCGAGTGGTCTCATTATTGGTCAAAGCGCTGCAACGTTGAAGAAACGTCCATTCGCTTCGGTTAGCTACCGAACATCAGACAAAGTCCAGGGACGGGAGATTAACAGGATAACGTTGTTATCACGGTATCCAGCCGGCCGCGGACTGGAAGCGATTCTGGCAGATATACATGCCCTGGCCAATACCTAAAAAAGAACGCCATGACCAGCAAGTGGTGATCCCCTCTGAAAGCATGAGAGCGAAAAAGTAACATACATGGCAACATTGGGTTCATCTGGAGGAAACTCAAGACTCTTGTGTCCTGGCGAGGAAGCAAGAAGCTGCTTCAGGAAGTGTATAGCTAATGCTCGGGAATGTATGTAATGCGGAAGGATACTCGACGCTCGTTTTTGTCAAGTGGAGCCTCCTATGAAGACCTATTGTTTGTATTAGTTTGAGTGGGATTGACAATAATATGTATATGCAGGAACGTCAAAGTTTGCTGTGTTGATATCAAGATAAGTTGTTCGGCTGGGGAGATGCGGAGGAGAAGTCTGGTAATATGGGCGCGTGCGTGCGTATGTATAGCCATGTCACGTTCAAGGTTTAAAACACGTACGATATGTTTCGTCTTATCGAGTCCTCAGCATCTGTGTAGCTAGGTCCGAGTATGGTAATGAATGATGAATGCATGAACACCTACATTCTAAAATGCTTGGCTTGGCCTGTTTGAGGCAGCAGACACGTGGTAGATTGTAGCTCGTTACCTGCTAGGCCAGTGCCAGTCATGCATCGGTTTGCATACAAAGACACGAATTCCACCACCGCATTCAGATGAACTGAAATGGAAGAGACCCCCGACTCTGATGCGCTGGCTCTGGTATTAAGATTGCTGTCATCGGTCCTGGCAGCTCAAGATGGTGTGGAGTCTGACGTTGGCAACAATTGTACCGGTGGGTGATCGCGTGGATGATCACGTTGGAACGGGCTCTATGGAGGAAGGTTGGGGGTGAGACACTGTGTATCCCGACATTATAAGCGCAATCACAGGCTCAGTGTCTAGCGAGAAGAGCGGAAAGACTAGCCTTTTCCTCTATCAAGTTTCTAATGTTGGATCCGAGTCTGTCGCGAACTCGGGTGAAAGCTAAAGATAAAGAAAGGACTGCAGTGAAGAGCAGTGCAGGGACGAAAGAGAACCGAACCGACTTGGCCGGTGACCGGGGTCTTTGTATGCCATAATTAGCCGATTACATGCACTGTAAATAAAAAGTGAGAAATGACCGTCGTACCATTCCCTGTCCCAGCCTTTTCACAAGGCCTCTCATTCTATTGAGACTGGCTAAACAAACTGCTGCCCTCACACCAGGCAATCCAATCCGACACTTGCTCATCGCAATCTTTTGCACGAGCGTGTCGTCCTTCACGGTGAGTGACCTGCTCCCGTAACACTGCTTGGGCTTGTTTCGCTTCGTTACCAATAACTGACTTTGGGTTCTGTTCGATAGCTTCTGACGCGTTAAACTTCTCTCCCATCCCACCTTTTAGTCTCCAGGTGACAACAATGCGGTCCATTCTACAGCCTCTGGCTGGACGCACCGTGTTTGCACCAATTGAAACAATCGTCTTCTTCGCCGTCGTCGGAACTCTCGCATACTTCCAGGTCCTTTCAGCAATTAAACATTCGTCATTCTTCTCCCCATCCGTTCCTTCAACACTCCGTCCAGCCCATGCATTATTGCGTGACGGCGAGTGGGTTGGCGTCGATGAAGACTGGTATTTGAAACGCGTCAAAACTGCTGATTCGCGTCCTTTGGAATTACAACAATTAATATTTTCATTAGATCCAGCTCAGTCTTCAGCCACAGTCAGTGTCCGTCAAATTTGTTTTTGCTGTCATGATTCTAACATGTTCGTTGCCAGGTCACTGCGGACTCTGCACCTGTCGACCTCGTATCCTTATCACAATCTATTGATAATATCACGCACCATATAGTTCACGAGCTCTCTACTCCATCAGGCGAGACATACACGTCGCTATGCTATTATCCAGTGACTGCTGAATCATCGCCACCCGCCTCATGTTTTACCACCGCATCCCTCCAGACCTCGCGGTCGAAGACGGTCACGCTGTCATTCGATGCTGGCACTAGCGATATATTCATAGACGCGCTGAGCCACCAACCCAGCTTCTCCGCTGATGAATTTGGTGTCAAATACCAAATAGAGACCCACGTCACGGAGACCATCGGAGAAATGAAAGGTGGTAAATGGATGGCATATGCTGCACGAGCCATGATCGTGCGATTTTGGGAGCTTACCAAGGTCAGTAATTTGAAGCTTATGATATCATGTTCTTGCCATACTCACCCGCAGTCTAGAAAGCGGATTCACTGGACATATTGCTCGTTCTTGTTGGTTATATCCTCATGCACGCGTCATTCATTCGCCTGTTCTTCTCAGCTCGTGCACTTGGTTCCAACTTGAAGCTCAGCCTTGCAATTTTGTCATCGTCTATTCTTGCATTCATGCTCGCTCTCCCCATCTCGCATTACTTTGAGATTCCTTTGGATCCCATTAGTCTCACCGAAGCTCTGCCTTTCTTCGTGTGCACCGTTGGCTTCGACAAGCCCCTCCGTCTTGCGGCTGCCGTATTTAACCACCCTCATCTGTTGTCTCCCGTTAAGGAGGGCAGGTGGCGTGGCCAGATGAAACCCGCTGGCGAGGTAGTCATGGAAGCTATCGAAAACAGTGGTAATGCCATCTTGCGGGATTACGCGCTCGAGATCGCCGTCCTCTCCATGGGAGCAAAAAGCAAAGTCGGTGGCCTGAAGGAGTTCTGTGCGCTTGCGGCACTCACCCTCACGTTGGATTGTGTTTTATTCGGTACCTTTTATGCCGCGATGTTGGCAATTATGGTTGAGGTTAGTGGTCATGGAATTTCCTTTTTTGGTACAACTGGGTTAGGGTCAACATGACTCTTTCTCTGATTGTTCTCCAGAATAACGCTCATGGTGCCTGATTTTTAGGTTCGGAGGATTAAAGCTGCTCGTGACATGACAAGATCCCGGAGCTCAAACAATCTGAGTGAACGCAAACCACCAAGTGCCCTCGTACGCTCATCTCCCCAAGTCCAGGACGCCAGCCTTAGCCGGCAGCTATCCGAAACCCTATTGGGTGTCAAGGGTTCTATGCTTAGACAGAAAAACAGCCCACCGCCGGAAGTTAAGGAAGAGAATCCCCTTGCACGTCTGAAGCTGCTTCTCGTACGTCACTGCGCACTGACCTCCTTTCCTGTCACACTGATGTCCAATTGAATAGATCGCATCTTTCCTGACTTTGCACATTCTCAACTTCGCAACCACGCTCACTCCCGCGACCATTTCGAGATACCAAACTCAGACCCTGACTGACTCTGTCAGGGCTGACTTCTCGGTGTCACACAGAGTCGATATAACTTCTCCTGCCATTGCTAGTGTGCTCGCCAACCTTGCCGCTGTCGACGTGACTCTTCGGGTAGAAGCAGAAGCTAACGTGTCCACACCTACCGATCTTCTTGTCAAGATTGCCCCACCCCTGTACATCCGCGTCACGCCACCAGGTCCAGTTCGTCCCCGCGCACTATTCAGATCTACCGAGGTGATCGAGAACTTCATGACTGGTTGGACAACACTCGTCGGCGACCCCATTCTATCAAAATGGATCGTCCTTGTCCTCGCTGTCAGTGTCGCACTCAACGGTTATCTTCTCAAGGGCATTGCTGAGGGTGCCATGCGTGGCCTGCAGCCCAACAATGTGCGCTTCAGGTCGGTCGTTGCCGAGAAACGCGAGAAAGATGATGAGGAGATTGTGACTCCGGGAGTTAGGGCTGCTGGTGGACGCAGACGGTCTTCCTTCGTTGTTGGTGATTCAAAACCGTCCTCACCGAGTTCTTCAGATTCCGAGAAGCCCATTGTCCGTCCCCTTGCTGTCCGCCCTATGCGTGTCCTTGCACCCATTGCAATTCCCGCTACCAGTGGTGTGTCTGCACATATGCTTGACATGAAGCTACGAGCACAAGCTGCACCTGCACCAAGGGAGGACCAGCCGCTTCAGTTCCCTATCCGGTCGTTGGAGCAGTGCATCGAGGTGTTTGAGAATGGGCCTCGTCCTGTGTCGGCTGCTCTTGCGACGCTCAATGATGAGGAGGTTGTCATGCTTGCACAGAACGGCAAGATTGCGGCATATGCCTTGGAGAAGGTGCTTGGTGATCTAGAGCGGGCTGTGACCATCCGTCGTGCATTGATCTGTAAGTCTATCTTCATATTCTCAGGGTTTTCGGTGTTCATGTGATACCTAGCTCGTGCAACTGACACCAAATCGCTCGAGTATTCGGATGTCCCCATGCACAACTACGATTACTCTCGTGTCCTTGGAGCGTGCTGTGAGAACGTTGTCGGTTACATCCCTATTCCTCTTGGTATCGCCGGCCCACTCAACATCGATGGCGAGCTCGTCCACATTCCCATGGCTACTGCTGAGGGCACACTTGTAGCGTCTACTTCGCGTGGATGCAAGGCCCTGAATGCAGGTGGAGGTGTTACAACCGTCCTCACCAACGACGCCATGACGCGAGGACCTGCAATCGACTTCCCTTCCATCATCATGGCTGCAGAAGCTAAAGCATGGATTGACTCGGAAGAAGGCTTTGAGATCATCCGTGAGGCATTCGAGTCGACGTCGCGTTTCGCGAAGCTTCAGCGCCTCAAGACTGCCATGGCTGGCCGTACATTGTTCGTTCGGTTTGCAACACGGACTGGTGACGCTATGGGCATGAACATGATTTCCAAGGGTACGGAGAAGGCGCTCGAAGTCGTGCAGAAGCATTTCCCAGAGATGATTACACTTGCTTTGTCGGGCAACTACTGCACAGACAAGAAACCTGCTGCCATCAATTGGATTGAGGGACGTGGGAAGAGTGTGGTAGCTGAGGCTGTTATCCCTGGCAAGGTTGTCAAGAGCGTGTTGAAAACTACGGTTGAGGCGCTCTGCAATCTCAACACGAAGAAGAACCTGGTCGGCAGTGCTATGGCGGGCTCGATTGGTGGCTTCAATGCCCATGCTGCAAATATCCTGACTGCGATTTTCTTGGCCACTGGTCAGGACCCTGCGCAGAACGTGGAGAGCTCGAATTGTATGACCCTCATGGAGCCGTAAGTCGAGATTGTTATCTGACAGTGCTTAATACTGATGAATATTGGTAGAACGAACGATGGTGAAGATCTCCTTATGACTATATCCATGCCCTCGATCGAGGTTGGCACTGTTGGTGGAGGTACTGTTCTTGGTCCCCAGGGCTCCGTCCTGGAGATGCTCGGGATTAAGGGCGCACATTCCATCACTCCCGGCCACAACGCGCAGCGCCTTGCTTGTATTATTGCTGCTTCCGTCATGGCTGGTGAACTCTCTCTCCTCAGTGCTCTTGCTGCCGGTCACCTCGTCCGTGCGCATCTCGTCCACAACCGCTCCCAAGCCAACACCCCAACGTCGTCACGGCCTGTTACCCCTGGACTCATTGCCAGCGACATCGTTTGGGAGCAAAAGACTGCCGAGAAAAGTCTCGGACCACGACCTGATCCTGTCCTCGCACATTCATTATCGACAACATCATTACCCCCGTACACAGCAAACCCGGAGACCGAAACTGAGATCAAGCCATCTCAGTAGTAGCAGGACAGTGTTAGCTGGCCGTGCCTCCACTATACTCACTGTGATTTCGAGACCTAACGTTTAGCATTCTTTCGTCTAGACTGTCTTATACTCATCTATATATACATCAATATCTTTTCCAATTGCTTTTGCTCAGCATTTAGACGGAAAATAGCTAGTGTCTCTGCCCTTGTATATTTGTAGCTAGTTTGGCTTACTCTACGTAGCAAGCTTGTTGACCGCCTCTATGTTGTGCGCTCAATGCATACCTCACGATCGACTATTGTGGTGTGCCCTCTCAGTAACAACGTCGAAGTCAAAGTGATTTTAATTATGACTTCGTAAGACACATTATATATTAATAAAATCCGACAACTGCGCTATTTTTTACATAACATCTGGCCCGCAGATGTGCCAATATCTCACGACTTGCCCGCAACCCATTGAAAAGTACACACATAAAGTCGTCTATCGTGTTGTCTTCCTCCCTGCCCCTGCCCAGTTTCGAACGTTCCTGCGGGAAACCAAGTCGATGATTTTAGTGAGTCAAGTCACGATTTCTTGAGTTCACGCGAATACGAATTGATTATGCCCCGGCATCTGGTAAGGGGGTCTTGGCATGAATCCGGGGTACATGTAGCACGCATTCAACCCATTGGCAGCGTTCGCAGGTCCGGCATAGCCGTTCTGGGGGTATGCCGCGCCATAAAAGTATCCTACCGCGGGGTGATATTGTAAAGTGTAAAATGGGACAGGGGGCTGCCACACGTTGACGATTGGCCTCGCGTGCACGCCGTAAAAGGCTCCCAACATATTATTATAGTTGTTTTGGTGAGGGGGCTGGGGTTGGATCTGAGGCTGGGGTTGTGGCTGAAGCTGCGGCTGGGATGAAGTCGATGGATTCATGTGCGATGCGGATGGGGCAGCAGTATGAGCGCTGCTACGTTGGTTACGCGCATAAGGAATATGTCCATGCGCTACCTTACGGTGGCGCGTCAGTACCGCAGGGTTGTGGGTCTTAAAGCTACAACCATGAGGACAGCGGTAAGGCTGATCGCCAGTACTAAGATTTTTGTTGTTGATTATGTGGAATTGTCGACGACTATGAGCGGGTACTTACTGCTTGTTGGAGTGGATTTCGAAGCTGGGCTTCCACAATGTCGCAAAGTCACAGCCGGGAAAGCGACAGAGGTGAGCACTGATCGTGAGAGAATGTCAGTGAATTATATAGCATAAGAGATAACCACAAACTTGGGTGAATGTGCGGCCTCATGTTTCTTGAGGTCAGTATATTTAGTAAATGTTTTGTTGCAGCCAGCTTGAGCAGAGCAAACATAGTTCTACACGTTCCAAATTCAGTCTCAGTGCATGAAGTATGCTCGTGATTAGACTCACCTTTTTGACAGACATCTTGAGATATTTGATTGTATAGAAATATGAACGCGGGGGGTACTACTTGATTATGTCTCGGGTGAATGCTGATTGTCCTTGGGGGTGGTGACGATGCTAGGCGGGCATTTGGGACAATATTTATACAATACCGAAGGTAGAAGTGGCATTGTGAGCAGACGCTTGATGTGGTCAATTGTGGTCTTCATACACGTACGTTTTGTGGAAGTAACTAGTGGATGTGAGCCACTGTCATTGATTGAAGCTGCGGAGCGTGAATGCATTGTCCACCATTTTGTTCTGCGCAGTGGTACAAAAAATTTGCCATAGCAAGCACTGGTAGGGTGCAGATGAAGATCATGCCAGCATTGACACAACCCAGGTTGGTGGATGGGAGGCTCATCAACATGGCCGCCAGGTAGGACTCAAGCTTTCACCTGCCAGTGCCGCACGCTCTGAGTTTCGATGGATTGGCAAATGTCACAACATCGAATCCCTGTCGGAACCATCGAGAAATCTTTGGCACTCCATAGGAGTTGATCATGGTGTCCCTCCCTACCTTTGACACCTGCATCCCGTTGCCTCTGCAGTTCGATGTGGAGGTCGATATCAAGTCCAGCTGCACAATCATAGTCACGGCAAAGTGTCCGCAGGTCAAGGGTCAACTTCCAGAGAGATGTCCTTTCCCCGAGTTACCTTCTGGCATCGTGCATCCATGGGCCGCCGCTACCGTTCTCTGCGAGATTTCGTTGCTTCCAGCTACGTTCGGGTGACTACAATTATGTAATTTTAATGCTCGCTCGCCGCTTGTCCTAATCTGGTAGTCCGAACTACATACACACCTCTAGCTTATCTGAATCCTGATACTCGAATACGTTTTTTTGCCTCCTCATAGAACTGGAAATATCAGGATGCAAACCTCACCTGTTGGACCGCCATTTTTTGCACAACGCTGGCTCAGCGTTTGTGAGTCAACATTTTGGACTACTACTCTCGCCGGTGTAATTTTACACACGTGTGAAGGCTCAAGTTTCTGGAGTAATACCCGCCGCTTCTTAATGGCGCTCGGTTTAAAATATTCATGTGGTGGCGTTGACGCTGGATTCCTTCTAAGATGAACTCACTGCAATTCCGTCAAAGTGTCAGGTCCGCCTTGCAAACTGCCACGAGCGCGTCGACGCGTCGTTGCACCGGACAATATTGCTCTCTCACGTCTTCCTCTGTCCAGGGACCCACCGAACGTTCCCTGGATCTTCGAACGCTCACAAGTTTCTTCAGAGAAGAAATCCTCAGAAAGTATGCTCACCGTCCTGCCCTCATTTGTAGACAAGAACGTCCCCGCGCCCATGGTGGGCCACCATCGCGGAACCTCGGTGTACTCAACCACCTAGCATGGGATTTTGACGAGTTTGACAAGCACATACGAGCGCTGGCGAGAGGGTTAGTCGGAATGGGTGTCAGGAAAGGGGATCGTGTTGCAGTACTCATGGGGAACAATAGGTGCCGTGCTTTGTTGGCTCCAATACGTGCGCTAATCCAGGGGTTCATTCCTATATGAAGCTCCTATGCGTCACTTCAGTGGGCGTGCGCGAGCATAGGTGCAATCCTCGTAACGCTGAACCCTGCCTATAGGTTGAATGAACTTGTAAGTTAATTATACGCTACCTGTAACTCATGAACCATTGTGCTGCAGGTAGAGACACTCAACCTTGTTGGCGTCACCCATCTCTTTACTGTACCTCGCATCAGAACGTCGAATTATATCCGTATGCTCTCTGATGCCTTTCCTGAGCTGTGCAACTCAAGTCCCGGTAATATCCAAGAGCCCGCCCTTCCTTCGCTGAAGAACTTGGTCGTGGTCAGTAATATCCACGACACTGCAGAGTGGAATCGAGAGACGTGTGATGTAAAGAGTATCACTGATTGGAGAGAGACCTTAATATGGAGAGAAGATGTATGGGAACAGCGTCATATCGAAGAGTCGGTCCAGTCTCAAAGAAGTGACGAAGTTATCAACCTGCAGTTTACTAGGTGAGTTTTCTTGTAAATGAGCTTTCAGCTTCTCATAGTAAATAATGATACATAGTGGGACCACCGGTGCTCCCAAGGCTGTTTCAGTAAATGATGGCCTCTACTATGTTTGCGCTGCTACTGAATACCGCATCAGCTAACTCACACGAACCTACTCAATAATGGTATTTCCATCGGTGGCTGTATGCGACTGGGCCCAGACGATGTCCTTTGTGCGTTTGCCTCTGATTCTCGTGAATCGTGATATAGATGCTTTTCACCAGGCAATGTGCCTCCTCTGTTCCACTGTTTTGATGAGTGACAATTTTGTGTTTTCTTGCAACCATTCTTACCTTGAATTTATGCACGCCTAGTTCTCGGTAACCTTGCTGCGTGGTCCCATGGGTCTTGCGTTGTATACCCTTCAGAGATTTATGACCCCAAAGCAATTGTGGACTCCGTCGTGCAAGAAAGATGTACAGCCCTGCATGGCGTCCCCACACATTTCTTGGGTGTATTGACAGAGGTGCGGAAGCGACAAGACGCGGGAGAGAAGCTGGATTTGAGTAGCCTACGGTAAGTGGAACAAGTCTTACCTAACTGCGCATCATTGCTTATGACATGCTGAAATGTAGGACTGGCATTGCAGCGGGCTCCCCAATACCTATTGACCTCATGCGGCAGCTCATCGAGAAATTGAACCTCGTAGATCTGTCCATTGCGTATGGAATGAGTGAATTTTCTATTTTGTTCAATTGAAATTCAGTTAATTGATCTTTTAACAGCGGAAACAAGGTGAATTGCTCCCTCGGCGGGAAGGAAGTTCTAAAGCGATAATCGATATTGTTTTAGCCCCGTGTCTTTTCAAACCACACTGACGGATCCAATCATCAAGCGTGTCGAGACCGTCGGTAGAGTGCAACCGCACGTGATGGCCAAGATCATTGACCAAGATGGGCATCTTGTCCCTGTTGGCAAACCAGGTGAACTGTGTATCGCTGGTTATCTTGTTCAGAAAGGGTCCGCTTGATTCAGTTGTTAGTTTTTCTGTGTGCACTGAAACAAGTCTAGCTACTGGGAGGATGAGGAACAAACGCAGAAGGTCATGCGGGCGGATCCAAATGACCCGTCCATAGTATGGATGCATACAGGTGATGAAGGGATCATGGATGAGGAAGGATATCTGAAGAGTAAGCCTGCTGTTACATCCTTCTTGAAGAATTGTTTGATGTCCCGCAGTTGTTGGCAGGATAAAGGTCAGTACCCGTCTTACCTCAGCAACCCAGGGAATGAACTACTTACAGGACATTATTATTCGTGGTGGGGAGGTGACACACTCCGTCTCACGGAACTAGTTCCATCGCCTAACTCAGCTTACAGAATCTATTCCCGGTCCAGATTGAGAACGCACTGACTGCACATCCCTCCATCAGGGAAGCTGCAGCTGTGTCCGTGCATGATACAAAGTATGGAGAGGTTGTAGGGGCATGGATTGTCAGAGAACCAGGCACCAAAATATCAAGAGAAGACGTCCGTCGGACTGTCGCAGAGAATATGAATCCACAGGCAAGTTCCGGATGCAGGTTTCTCAGCCAAATTAATGCTCTCCCAGAATGCTCCAGCGTGGGTATGGTTTGTGGGCGAAGATGGTACGGCGGGAGAACTCCCGAAAACTGCCAGTGGGAAGGTCATGAAGCATGTTCTTCGCAAGTGGAGTGCAGAGCTTGCGCAGAATGCTATCGGGAGTGTCGGAGGGACTTGATCGATCGATGTATCCATTACAGTCGTCACACTGGCCAAATTTTCAGTCCGCTCAGCAGACGTGATTGTTGATAAATCGATTCTTGAACTTCAGCAATTGATTTGGAGGCTACTCATAAATCTGTGAGCTACAGTATATACGGAGAATTATAGAGCTAAATGCAAACAATCAACGCTGTGTTACACCATTGCTTAGGGGGTATACGTGGATGTACTAATGAATGTTGATACATAGATGGATTGTGAAATCCGTAACTCGTCGGGCGTGGCGCGTGAGGGTTAAGCGAAATAACGATGGTGGCAAATTATGTGGTTGACTTGAGGCTGTGGCGGCACTCATGGTTTGCCCCCAAAAAGTCCCGTGAACGTTGATTGGCACATCCAGCTTCGTCTGGCTCGAAAGTCGCTGACATGATCTGGTAGGTTGGGCTGGACCGAGCGTCAGCTCGGGGTGGGACGCAGGCAGGTGGAGCCGCTCACCCATCAAGCCGGAACAACCCGCGGCTCATAGCTGCCTAGCCCAACAAGATGTGGAGGCGATGGTTAGAGCAGTGCTGCGTTGGCCAGGTGCTGTGACGAGATCTGCTCGAATGCGCGGATATATGTCTCGTATGCTAAGGATCTCCAGCGGCCAGCGATTCGAACTATTTCGGGATCAATTTTCTTCGCGAGGTAAAAGGACGCGCCACCTATTCGAAACGAATGACCGAAAGTTGTGCCCCATCCCCAGGCCATCAAAATTGAATTAATGCGCTCCAAGGCCCGGATCTTGGCCATTGGCCGAATATCACCCTTGTTATCGCGCCACGAAAACAAAGGGTCGTTCGCGAGGGCGGGAACGACGGAGGCTAGGTTGCGGAGTGCTGATAAAGGATACAAGTCCCCTTGCTCGTTGAGAAAAACGGATTGTGTTTCTCCGGTTCGAGCTGTTTTGGCTGAAGGAAGGTCAAGGCGTGCGTAAGGATTGTTTCGCAAGTCATGTCCGAAAAATGCATGAGCACGGGTGATGTGTTTGAGTGGGTTGAACGCTGCGCGAGAGGCAACAGAGACTTCGCCGAAACGCATCATGCCGAAGAATGCGCATGATGCCATTGCCCAAATGCACGCGTCGAACGGATCCGCTAATACGAGAGTAGCTTTGAGAGCTGTGAGCATTGCGAGTGATATGGGTGGCCGAAGAGGTTTTCGATGGCCACCGTGCAAATTTTCCAGTCCGCGCAGAGACCAATTGATACGGTCGTGGTGTGAAT